TCAGCCCTTTACCCATGGTCCTTTACAGAAAGAGCAGTCTTCAGTCTGGAACAATCCAGGAGCTGCTAATCATTCTGTCACTGTCTTAGTTGCAAAAGTTTTCTCCTGTGAGACTTATTCCCTATTCTTCCCCCTTCAGGTAGAAACACTGTGAGAAAAAAATTCAGAAGTTATGCCTGAAAAGTAATTTTCCTGTATGAAAAATGTTCATGCAGAGCATCAGTTTTCTTCAATATGCTTGTTATGTCTGTAACCTGCTGCCTCTATATATGTCCCCACGGCAGCCAGCCGAGTATGAGCCAGCAGTGGTTTAGTCTGGAGAAAACGAGGCTGAGGGGACACTTCTCACTCAACAACTAATTGAAAGGAGGTTGTAGTGAGGTGGGTGTCAGTGTCTTTCCCCAAGTAATAAGCAATAGGATGAGAGGAAATGGCTTCAAGTTGTGCCGGGGAGGTTTATCCTGGGTATTAGGAAGAATTTCTTTACCAAAATGGTTGTCAAGCATTGAAACAGGCTGTCCAGGGATGTGGTTGAGTTCCATCCCTGAAGTGTGGTGCTTTAGTGGTAGACTTGGCAGTGCTGGTTAATGATTGGACACTTAGGAGTCATTTCCAACCTAAAGGACTCTGATATATTGTGTCTTTAACAAGCCTTTTCTTTATACACACCTTCCTAGTGACACCCTGTCACTAGTGACCCTGCTTATAAAAAGTCAGGCAACAAGGGCCAGTGTGTTTTGACAAGGATTGTGAAGCAGTAATACATAGATTTCAAATGGGAACACTGTGCAGAGCAGTGCACCTGAATAAGAAATCTATTCTAGGGAAGGAGGAATCAGATGGAGAAGCCAATGATGCCTCTGCTGGTGTAGGAAATCTGCAGGATGTGCGCATTCAGCCAAGGAACAAACCAAACCCTGCCATCAAATACCATATGCAGAAGGGCCATCTTTTCACCAGATTAACATCATTTTGCAGGTACTGCAATGAATGGAAGTACTTGACCGTTTACTAAAACCATTATCACGTAACAAAATGCATCACAAAAGGTTATTTTTTTCTCAAACACCATGCCATTAACACCAGCATCTTTAGAATATGAGCTCCCATCTGGCAGGTATCATCTGGAGCCCTGGGAACCACATCCAGTTCTCTCACCGCATTAATAAATACCACAGCAGTTTACAAGGACTTTTTTTTCGGGGGGGGCGCACTTATTATTAAACCGTCTATCATTTATTTGCAATGAGAGCCCAGAGTGCTTACATCAGAGTCCCTGAAAGGTTTTGACAAGATGGAAGTTTTCCATTTGAACATCCAAAGGATCTGATGTTACCCAAGCTGACGGCTGTGACTGTCCCACTAGGAAGGAGCAGCAGTGAAGCTCTTCCCAGGTCCTGTTGACATGATGATACTACCAAACACTTTCACAACCTTCTCAAGTATTGTCACAACTAAAAACTCAGAGAATAGCAAAACACTATGGGGCAGAAACTGGCTGTGAACAGCACGCATCTGAGGCAGATAAAACCCACAACAGCGAGTCAGCGCATTTGCTGTGCAAAACAAAGCACAACTTGCTCTAGTGAAGACTAGTTTCACAAATCTACAGGGAAAAATGTGGCTCCAGTTAACCCTGCAACATCTTGGTGCAGGAACCAGAGCCATATTTCCATTGTATTGCACTTCAGCTTGTAAGGTGCAGCAAGTCTGTACTTGTAAGCTTCTCTTTTCAGAAACAGATTTGAAGGCATATGGCTTGGTGGGTAGTCCAAGTTTAGAGGCCTCTGCCAGCAGAGTAGATGTGTCTTACTTAACACAGGCAGCTTAAATTCAAACCGTGAATAAAAGGTGGCATTTTGACAAGAAGTTCCAAAGAGAAAGCAAAAGACACCAATGGCAAAGAAAATGCTGAGGATGTTTGGAGAATGCTCTTAGAATAGGAAAGGAGGACATCTTTTACAGTGCAGGAGCCCAATTCAGGCAAGTAACTGAGCTTAGTAATTTGAAGTTTAAGGAAAAATGTACTTCCAGCTACACAGGAAATGATGGCAACGTATGTCAAGTCCTAAATATGCTATGATCTGTTGTGAAGGAACTGCTCAAGAGTTTTAAAGAGAACTGGACCATAAATCTCTAATTACTAAAGAGCACACAGATGTTTGTGCTGAACTGATAATATTCACTTGCAATACTGATAGCACTTTTTTCAGTTACTAAGAATGTACGTTTTATTCTATTTAACAGCACTTGCTCTTTAATTTGCAATTAATTCAATACTAATGATCAAATTATGAGTTTTATTCTTCCCCTCACAAAGAGCCAGGCTGTGAGAGGATGAATTTTGCATTACCTAGCACTACCTGCTTATGTCAAACTCCAGAGTATTTTCTCAGCAGTACTGGAGCAGGCACAACTGGTTCGGGTTTTTCTGGAACAGCAGCATCAACAGAGTGATCATGAAATGACAGCCTGAAACCACTTTGTTTTTGTGTAAGAAAGGACCAGAAACCGCTGCACAAGTCACTAACTACAGAAGATATCTCATTTATTTAATCAGTTATTTTTTAAATTAATAACATTTGTTAACTTCTTGCATATGTATGCAGCACATTCAGCATAATCTTACAGAACTTGTAACTTTAAAGTGTTGCATTTCATTATTATCAAAATGCCGTTTGACACAAAGTGAGGAAGACAAAAAAGGAAACAAATACCAGTCAGCATTTCTACCATCATAGTGTAAAAATTTGGAATTGTAATTAATTGTCTAACAAGCTGTAAAATTAAACGTGAATACATTTTTACAGAGAGCCAGAGGGAAGAACCTATATAATGTAACAACTGTATATTGTTGCAATTCTGTATTTTAAGGGTTACAAATCAAGGATCAACCTTTCAAGAAAAACCTCTATGTCTACCACTTACAATAACTGGTAACTTTAAATCAACTGGTTCACCTCTATCACTTCAAATCAGCAACTTCATATAAACTTGGTATCCACACTTAAACAAAAAAAAAGAGTATAGAAACTGCAAAGGTGATAAAACGCAAACTGAGAATAAGTTTTAAGACTCCTTAAAAAGCACTTCATAGTGGAAGCAGCAAGCAGGAAGAAACAAGCTGCTTTGGAATTCTTGTTTAGCCAGTGTATTTCTCAAGCTACTGGGTATAAACCAAGGATTTCAGAATCCTATATACTAGGTGCATCAATATTCCTATTAGAGGCCTGAAAGAATTAAACCCTAACTCTGCGAATGATTTAACACAGATGTTGGGGTAGTCTAAGGAACAGGCTAAGCTCTGAAATTAGCATTACCTGATACAAGGGAACCCCTACACTAACAGGAATATCAGGGCCTAGAGCCACAAACAGCAACTGAATTCTGCCCAAACCCAGTAATAATAAAAATTATGACAAGACAAAGCAGTTACACAAAAAAAGGTAACTTAGCATCAGTTTAGCCACTGCAGTGTTCAACTGTAATTGTTTTACATGCTTTGATTCACAATGTAAATATTTTTTAAACTATGTGAGGACAAACAGTTATAGTAATGACTTGTTAAACAGTATTGAAAGAACATCAAGCAGACTAAATTCCTTCATTCACTCCTCAGGAGGGTTTCCAGGAACCCCCATCCTTCTTTTACCCTTTTAAGGAAACAGAGCGGGGCAAACTTAACTGTCTCACCTAGGACTCTGAAAGTCCAGAGGGCCACAAAGATGATCAGAGGGCTGGAACACCTCTCCTGTTAAGACAGGATGAGAGTTGGGCTTGTTCAGCCTGATAGCAGTTCTGGGAAGATCTTACAGCAGCCGCCTAAGTGCCTAAAAGCAGCCTACAAGAAAGCTGGAGAGGCTTTTTACAAGGGCATGTTGGGATAGGACATGGGGAAATGGCTTTAAACTGAAAGAGGGGAGGTTTAGATTGGATATAGGGAAGACATTCTTTACTATGAGGATAGTGAGACACTGGCACAGGTTGCCCAAAGCAGCTCCTGCCCCATCCCTGGCAGTGTTCAAGGCCAGGTTGGACAGGGTTTTGAGCAACCTGGTCTAGCAGAAGGTGTCCATGCACAGGGCAGGGGGGTTGGAACCAGATGAGCCTTAAGGTCCTTTCCAACCCAAACCACTCTGATTCTGTGACATTGACAATAGCATATTACACGATATTTTTTTAGTCAAAACTTTAGATTAAGGGGAATTCTGAAACAAGCTTGGCCATTGACATATGGAGAGGCACAACTAAAGACAAACTATACAACTGCAGTCAAAACACAAAAAGGTGTTTTAAATGAAACCAAGTGAAGAGAGGAATGGCAGCTGGATAAAGAATGGAAAAGGACAACCTTCTTCCGTCCTGAGCTCCCCACCCTTTATTTCTGCCTTCCTGAAGGCATTTTCCAAGCAGCTGATTATAGAACTCATTTTAAAATGCAATCTGAAACAGAAACAAAGCCTTTTGTTTAAAGTATATGACTTAAGTAACTTCATTAAAATATTCCCTTTTAAAGACAGAGCTATGCAAGCATTCTTCAGGCTACTGCCTGAAGAATAATTCCATCAAAACCACTGGCAGTTACACTATAGCCTGATATTAACACTTCAATTAAAGCAAAGCCGATACTGTTAACACTTTAAATATTTCCCAGTATACCTCCACAGGCCACTCAGGCTTATGGACCAACAGCCATAACTCAGCAGTATGTTTGCTATCTGACTTAAACATGTACCCAAAGCACATTCACTTCACAAGCCCTTCCTGACTGAAAAAAAACCCTATGCCTCAGGCATTATTCACTGAAAAAAATACAAAGAACCAAAGCCTGGTATTTGTCTGGTATTGTGACTACAGAGTAGCAACAGGGCAATATTCATGAATCGATCTACCCCCAAAAAAAACCCAATTTACAGTTAAATATATTACAAATTGAGAGCTTAACATATCAAAAGTTCAGAAATATCATACCGCTTCAAAAGAGTCACAGCCTATCAGTATAAAGGAAGAATATAAAACTATTTTATTGACCACTGTTCACCAGTATTTACAATAAAGTAAACAATATACAGTCTGATAACATTCAAATTACTACAAAGTTAGTTTTCACCTGGTCTTCTTGAGACCAGGTGATCCCAAATACTAAAAAGAATGATTCTACAGTTTTAAAGGGCTAGGTTTGGGTAAAGGAGGTACATGCACATCAATAGTATAGAAGACTACAAAAACATCTGTGAGTTTGTTTAAACATTCATTATGATTCTTTAATAACTATGGAAGTTTATGAATGTTTTATAAAAGCTTTTACCTAATATGGAGGAAGTAGTAGTATCAAATGCTCTCTTGTGATAAATGAAACAAGTCGCAGAAAGCTTTTATTTACTTGCTGTTGATGCAAAACATACTACTTCAAAAAAATATCAAATTTGATTCTTGTTAGAATGTATGTTTCTCACATTGCTAATAAATCAAATTTCCGGGTTTAATATTCATATATATAAAAAAGCAATGCAACTAATTATTGTGCTTCATCTTCTGGGCATGAATGCCAAGTTAGTCGCTCTTCGTAAAAAGCGATTACGATCTGAGGACACTTCACGTTAGCTTCTTTGGCCAGCACCAGATCTGCCTCATCAGAGTCTTTCCTGATGTAGAAGAGAGTGGGATTTAAGAAAATGCATAATTGTAAGTAAGTAAATAAAGCAGCTTTTGATAGGGCATAGGTTCTAAAAAGAATATCAGTTTTCAGTATACCAAGAATTTCCACGTTAATGGGTAAGGTTTCATAGTTGCATCTTCCTTCCCTTCCTGTATTTTTTTCTGTTTTAAAGGAAAACACTATTCAAAGTGAACCATTTATACAGTTACCAATTGCAGTATGTAACAAAACAATTTTGATGATTTTTTTCTTTTAAAGTATAATCACAACTTCATAGTAAGACTTTTAAAAATCACTAGCATCAGTCTTAAGACGGGGCACTTACATTCAATTTCTATTTACTCTTTATGCAAGTCACTTCCTATACTTTACACTGCTTTTCTTGTTGCTGTTTTGGGATAATAAACTTCCCAGTCTGACATGCTTCAGAGTCCATTTTGAAGTGTATGTTGCCTTCACAAGTCAGTTTTGTGAAAACATATTTATATCTATGTTTGTTGCCTACTATCAATTATGAAAAACTAGTAAACTGCAACTGAACTAAATCCTTCTGTTTCATTTTGCCAATTATCACTGCAGAAATCCACAGTCATAATCCGTATTTTGTATTGCTTCTGAGTTTCACGTATAATTTAGGGAGGATGTAAGAAGACAGAAGGGAGACAGAATCTTCCAAAGCACTAATCTTCAGCAGTCCGGGCACATCACATGGCAAATAATTTCTCTGGAGACCACTCAGTTTGACTCCATTCAGAAAATTCTGCCCTCCTCAAAGGCTGTGGAAAGCTATCGTTGTTCTCATCCCACTACCATATGACATCCAACCCCCAGTAAATGTCAATTCAATTTTTTGTATTCTCAACACTGGAAAAACAGTGCTGATTTTCTTCTACTTGTTTTACAAGGTAGGAAGTCTTTCTGTCAACACTGTAGCTAGTGAAGCTGGTCTTGACCTATCCTCCCAACAACACAAACTCCCTCCATCACTTTCCCCTATTTCTAGCCCATAACAATAAACCTTTCCTCCATATTGTTTATTCTTCATCTCATCCTCAGCTTCCTCCACTAGCTGCTTCCAATTCCACTTAGTTGCATGCAGAACAGCTGGCACTACAGCCAAACAGCTGCTGGATTCCTCCCTGCCATTCACTCAGCAAAACCATTACCAAGATCCATCTTTTCCATACAAATGCTAGTTTTTCCATATTTTATCAGGATTTACCTTTTAAATTTCTACTTCCATAAAACTGAACCAACAGAAACTAAAGTTATTTTGGATTTTGAAGGAAGAGTGATTAAGTACTAACTGATTATAGGAAGCCTTGTTTTTCTAAGAATACAAGGACAGTAAGCAGACCACCAGTTCCTCTGTCTTACTCCTGAAATAAAGTTGCCCAATTAGCCTAAGTGCAACTGCCTGTCCTCTCTTAATATGGAGAACTGTGGATCTAAGACTTACCATTTCATGAGGAACATAAGCTCTCCACTGCTATCTGTAGCCCCAATTATCCGCTCAGGATCAAGACCCCTTGCAAATCCTCTTGGTTTATCAACCTATTGAGTAAGTTAAAATATCAGTATCTCGTTTAAGACGAAATTCTACTTGGGCATTAGTGTTAAATACATTCTTTTACATACATATGTGTCTCTATCAGAACAACAAAAAAAAAATAGCCTTGCATAATTGTAAATGCTGTAATTACGTATTATTGTCTGAAGATTATATCTACTTTTTCAATGACTGATCTTCATGCCGAGTCATCCAGATGTAAGGTAGTAACAAAGGACTTTACAGAAATGTTCTAGCATTTATTTCTGAAAACTCAATAGATGAAACAATTGGTCTAAAACCATTATAGTAGACAAAAAACCAAACATGGCCTGTAAAAGCAACAGAAGGGGCAAAGCAGAAATGCAGTCCTGCAAGAGGGAAAAACACATCATTTTCAGCAAAACAACAGGCTTGTGATGGCTTAAGCCAACTGTGAAACTGCACCCTTGGGGAATATCTCAATTGTTCTTGGCTGACTGAGATCACATCAGTGGCAAGAAATATCATGACTATTTCCTGTATTAGTTCCTCTAGGTTCACAGTATCCTTTTGAGACAGTGACCACTGCTGTACCAGATAAAGCCATGCAACTGACTTTATACAGAAACTAAAATACTCTTTGTATTATTAATAAACTATGCCTTCTGACGCCTTCAAACCTTTTTGACAGCAATCACACATCCAACAGCTGTCTTCAGTAAACTGACACTGCCAACCAGTCTTGTTTCAGATTGCTAGTTTACAGAGAAAAATATGAACTATCGAACACATTACTGCATTTGCATTCTTTTGTACTTGTCAGCACTGAATTTGTCATGCTGCTTGTTCATTTAAAGTGTAGAAGAAACCAAGACCTTTAAGAAAAGGTAGGCTTTCTTCACTTAGCCTTTCTACTTCCTCTTATCAAGTCTGGTCCTAATCTAAGTAACTGCCTGATCTTCACATTTTGCAGTCTTGCCACTCCCCTATTCAAAATCATATGCTAAATATGAAAGCAAAACCAGAACTTAATCTTTGTTCCATTTATGAACCTTCTGCTCTAATATAACCAACCACTTGATATCATTCATTAGTAACTTTTTAACCAGTCTTACTTTCAATTATTCAGGAAGCATCATGGGACAACACAAGAACTTTTAGCAATCATGTCAATCAATCATCTTTTACTCATCTTTTGGAAGGTCTCATTAACAACCAAGAATGATTACTCTTTTCAAACCACAGTTCCAGATGTGAGGCTTTTACAGTTTTAAACCCATGTTTGGTCTCATTCTCAAAATGACAATAGGATTTTTTGGGGGGCGGTGATGGAGGGGTAGTGAAGAGACACAGGAAAAAAAAAAGTTTAGCACATGAACATATACTTACAGCATCACGCTTCTTCTTTGATTTACTATCATCAGACTCGCTATCTGACAAGGATTTTCTTTTGGCACCATCTGTTTTTTCTTTACCAGCTTTCTGAGAGTTCAGAAAAGCTTCGATTAGCTCTGGACAATCTAAGTTTTCTTCAGGTTCCCATGTGTTGTCAGCACTGAAACATATACACAGTTATGTAAAACTATGGAAAGAAATAAAACTAGCCAAATGGCTCACCTTAAGCAAGTTAATTCATTTTCTCTTTACGTAAGGCAAGTTTTTCAAACCTAAAGATACTTATCTTGCCATCTTTTGTAACCTTCATGTACTAAATTTCATAAAAGAAATTAGTATGCTCTGCTACTGTTGACAAATTATGTTCTTAAACTGGAGATACAGAACAAGCAGGTCTCTTAGTTCCTATAATCCAGCAGGACCATAGGAGTTAAAACAAGCAATACCCACTCTACCAAAACTTACCTGTACATTTAAACTGACTCCTTTCCCTGGTTCCTCTAAAGACTGTCCATGCAAACAAGTTATATGATAGAGCACTAAGACTTATGGAGAACAGAATGTACACAACACTCACCACAAACAGCGTCCATATGTCTAAGTTTCTATACATGAAGAATATGCTAAAAAGCTCTGAGCACTGAGCTCAGCTGTACCTAGAACTATCTTCTTCCTTCAGTCAACTACAGGAGGCAACAAAGGTTCCATGTCCAGAGCTGGGCAGTGCAAATGTTTCAGTGAGCATGCATACTGTTAACTAAAATTTTAAGTGCATGAATATTCTCTACAACAACTAAGCACCTCTTCAGAAGTCCTCATGCACAAATCCTGCCATGGCATTACCGCACAAGCAGGATGCCTACAAAGTATTTTCAGTTACTGAACTGTATTTTTTAAGTAACATCCTCAAATACTAAACACACTGTGTTTTGCTATTTCTGCTCTTACCACTACACAAACTTCAGGTACTAGAAGGCAGGATATTGCACTGTGATCACTCTGGGAGGTACATAACAATAATACCATTGCATATAACTGCTTAAGTTCAAATGATAGGTGCATCACCTTTTTTTCAGATAGCAAAGCAGCCTGCCAGAAAGTGTCATGGGAGGGATGGAGGAGGCACAGCTATGTGCTTTCTTTAACAATCAATTTTTAAGCTCACTTAAAAGACTTTCCTGGGCTTCCGTAAGTCCTGTGAAAGCGACTCAAAAGATACCTTTTGGGCATGCCTAATGAATGCAACTATGCCACAGAATTCCTTATGCAAATTCATCTAATTGGAGAGTTGTTCAGAAAAATGAATAATAAACTGTCTGCTTCAAATTCATCATTTCAGAACTGATTACAGTCTAAATCCCTGCAAAGTCTCCTACTTGGAAGTAACATTCATTCTGCTACATATATAACAACTGTCAGTCTAACTTGGCTGCCCCACTTGAACATGCATTTATGGACATCCTTCGCTTGTTCTTTAAAATGTATCACCATCATCCAATCCCCTCTTTGCATAGTTATTTCAAATAAATGGTTAATATTTAGCATTCTATCAGAAAAAAATAACAGGTAATGCCTTACTCTGTAAATCCTTTCCACTTCAAGTAGTATTCCACCTTTCCATTTACAACACGTCTGTCCAGGACTTTTTCCACAACAAATTCCTCAGGCTCTGCCTCTTCAACTTTTTTACCTTTGCCATTCTGTTTCTTTCCCATTTTGTGCTACAAAAGAAATTCAGAATTACATTATTCTTTCTTTCGCTTTACACAGTTACTTCACTGGCCAAATCCAACTTTGCTCACTAAACAGCAAAGAATCATGTACTTATTCACACTAAAGCCAGAAGCTCAGACTCCTTTTACGTTAGTGCATGTGGTCAGGTAACCTGAGCAAGACATGTTAATGTTTTGGGTTTTTTTCAGTTGCTTAATGAGATACCCAACACTAGTTCTATAAAGGTGAAATATTTTTGTCCATACACAGTGCCTCCCCTTATAAATTTCAGTATAAGAAACTCTCAGTGCTACATGCTCAAAAATTTATAAAGCTTCTGAAAGTTCACTCTATGCCTGTGAAAAGGCAGAGAGCAAGAAACAGCATAAGACAGAAGTAAAGTAGTAAGGGAACTGTGGAAATGCATAAAACAGGAAAAAAAAAAAAAGAAAAGCTGATGGGAGCAAAGTTTATGATGTATAACTACAATAAGCAAAATACTCAACAATAACCCATCACTGTCTAACAGGATGCATGCTAGAAGCATTCCATTACTGCAGTCCCTTCTCATTCTCAGGCACGCACCAATGCAACTTACATTCAAACAGATGTCACAAAGGTGCAAAAATTTAAAGACACCTATACTTAAGTACAGCACTAAACATATAAATGAAATTTTGCTAACTTAAACAACTTTGTAAGTGTTTTAAGTTTACATTTGATACTTCAAATAATATTCTTAAAGTTCTTAAAATATTACATCCACATCATCCTCAAGGCATTCCCAGTTTAATAAGGCACATTTAAATAGTAATAGAAGGACACATTTAATAATTTCCTTTTTTGCAATCTTAAAAAGTTTGGATCAAGCCTATCATGTTGTATCACATTTCTGGAGCACTAGCAGACCAAAAGCAATTTGCTCGCCATTTTGGACTGCACCTTATAAGGAAATTGTTAAAGTGGCAGCCATAAACTAATGGGAGCAGGATTAAGCTCCTAAAACGTATACTCGTGCAGCACCCTAAATCAAAGTGGACAGAACTAATTCCTCACTAATGCATTTCCTATAGAACAGAAAACAGACAAGCAAAAAATAAATCTCAGAGCACATCTAGTTGCATGATGGCCTTTCTCTAATCCTCTCTAGAATGAAAGCAGGTTGGTTTGAGAATACTGTGAAGCAGGTTTTTACACTTCGTAGGAATTTGTCTTGATGTGGTGAAAGGTAAAAATAAAAAATATGTACATTAGACAAAAAAACCTGTTCTTTTTATAAACTGAAGATTTAAGGCCAATTCTTTCTTTCCAAAGCCATGTCTTTGTGCCCTTATTTTTCATAACTGATTTCCACCCCACTCCCCAAAACAGCTTTACTCTGGTTAGCAGAAACTGAAGGTGTAAACAACAAGGAGAAGGAAAAGTTTCAAATTTCTCTTTCAAACAGCAAGTTTCTGTATATGGTTATATCTCATGCAACATTTGTTTTGATCTGAAGCACAGAAGAGAGATTATCTAAAACAGAGCATGTATTTCCAATTAAGATTTTAACTGCCTGCATATCCCAGGTGTATTTTGACCACAGCATTCATGTCTGAAAAGTGTCAACTTAAGCACACTGGCTTTTTTTTGCCTCCACAGGAAAAAGAATGTAAGGCTGATATTGAAAGAAAATTAAAACATGGAGATGTCCAATGCTTCTATGAAGGCAGCTTCGTTCCAGAAACAGAAGTGCGAAAAAGAGAAACAGGCAGAAATGAGGAAAACACATGAACAAAAAAAAAAAAAAAAGAGAGAAAAATAAAGAAAAACCAAACAAGACAGACTCACTATACCATAGTAATAACATTATAATTACTGGTGATGAGGCAAGCAGGCTACAAGTGGGGAATATCTCCATCTGTGTTCTCCGTTGCACTAAAATTCTTTGATTCAATGGAAGATTGTTTTCTGGTACGCTTTTCGGCTTCACTAATTCTTGTCACTTAAAGATAAATGTTTTGGATTTCTGTATCAAAGCAACATTTTTTTTTTTTTTTACTTTCTAAGACTTAAGTATCTAGAGAGTCTTCCACAGGAGAAAATGCATGTCATGGGGATCTGTATTTTTTTCTTGAAGTGCAGTAAGAAATAACAAAACTGAGAGCATGTTGCTTTTTGTTTTAAATATTTAAGAGATTCAGTTAGCTCTTGTGTACATCAGCACTGCTTTCCGAACTCTTGAGCCTTTCCAACCTATTAAAGTAATACTTGATTGCAGAGCCTGCAGAAATACTGAACATTTGTTAAAAGCCTGTACATTCTGAGATTATACAAGCCAATGTAAATCTCGCTGATAATGACTGAAGTGGCCACTAGACCCCCTGAAGCTTCCTTCTCTAGGGTCACATGTAAGCTGTTACTTGAGCATCTGATCACTGAACGGATCCTCTATGGCCCATTTCCCTTCCTGCATTCCAAAGTCACATATGAGGGTTGCAGGTGTGTGGCTGATCACTTTCTTTAAGGGGCATGATTAAAACATTGATGTGACACTGTGGTGAAGGGTTTTAACACACAGAAGGTTAAAAATAGGAATTATAGTTCCAGAGCTATGCTATCCCTTAATACATTTAGGTTTTGCATGCAGATACATAATGAAGCAGAATTAGTTACAGTTCCCATGGGAACCATAACTGCCTTTCCTGACCTGTGCAGCAAAATTCTTCTGTAAACATCAAAAGATTAAAAATACTGCATTCACAGATTCTTTCCTTTCCCTGAGGCATGCCCTCCCCAGGCTGGCTAACTACTTCTATTCCTTGAATTAGGGAAAACTGGACAACCAGTTACTAACAGGAAATTCAGACACTGACCTTGGTTAAATTTTTTTTAAAATAGTTTCTTATTGTGCAGTATAAAGGAAGCACTCCATTGCACTTTTAAGCCAGGAGTTAATACAAGTTTTTAATGTATCTCTACTTGGGTCAACCAGTAATCATTTCAGTAAATTTAAGTATAGGCCTTTTGAGAGCACTATGAATCAGTTGTTTTGCTATCCAAATTTTGAATTGTACATGTGTATTTCAGCTTACTTCCCCACCTCAACCTCAGATGCATCTCATACTCTACGTTTTCAGTTCTGTCTCTCATAAAACAATATAATTATTAGCTGAATGGCAACCAGCAACCAACTGCCCTTAGAAGTCCATATTTTAATGTCAAGCAAAGCTTTACAGGACTTGAGATCCATGAATGCATCATTAAAACGGTCCAGGAGGGGTTGACATCTGATAATCTCTGCTCCTATGAAATTCAAAGAAACTGTTATTTGTTAAAAATCATTTCAAAAGGCATCTTAACTACGCCACATCATTTCCCAATAATGTTATTTTTCATTTGCCTTTTTCAGGCAATTGATTTTCCCCAAGTACACTGGGAGAAATTAAATGAATACATGATTTGGATATTATTTTTTACATATATGATGAAGTACATGGTGTGCTGAAAGGAATCTAAAAAAAAATAAAATAAAATCCTTAGTGTTCTCTATTGTAAAACAGATGAAACAGTGCAGTCCTTTAATATTTTTTCCCAACAAATCTCTTCAGAAATGGGAGATTTATTAAAGCCAATGTCCTTTTTAGTAGCCTTACTTTCTGGATCTGAAATTTTGGTCAGAACAATGCTGGGGAGGGGAGATGTGGATGTATCTTTTAAATGGAGATGCCAAGTTATAAGTCTGAAGAAAAATATGTTGATTAAATCCTTACATACTTTAGGTGTGCATGAACTTACCAATGTAGTTTTATTGGAGGCCATTTTTATTGCAGACTTGCAGAGCTTTTACTAGAAAAATGCATGACAATTAAAAGGAAGTTTACATTACTCAAAGAAAGGCATCCCAATACAAGCATGGTCCTTGTTCCAACCCCCATGTAATCACTGCATACAACGTTTCTAATAAAGATTGAATCCAGAACAAAAAGTAGGTTACCACTTCATCTGGCATAACCCAGTAATGCACCATTATGCTAGCCAGGATAAATGATATGACAAAGTGGTATATACGGTTGAAAAAAAGGGTTTTTTTCCCCCAAGGCCTTCTAAGGCACAGTTATGTTTCAAGGGAAAAGGGGGAGGACCATCAGGGATGCTTATTTCCTTAAACCCAATGGAATAGGAGTTCAGATTCTAGCAGTTAATTGAGATATACCTAGGTATATACCAGGTATATTTCTGGTGGGGAGCAGCTACATATCTGTGGTGTTAATAATGAGTCACCCATTACTCTTACATAGCAGTAAATTTTTACAAACAGCAAATATTTATCTTAATGCAACTATAACGTTGCCTTCTGATTCTCAAGCTTGCAAGAGTTAAGGTCCTAGAGCAATGTTAACTCAGCTAAGCTGTACATACTACATATTTAACCTACAGAAATTATGTTGAACAGAATCCATCCCCTTTTCCATGCCATTTCTCATACTGGCCACCTCCTCAGGCATGTACTGTCCCCTCCCCACTGCAAACTATAGAACTGTTAGAACTCCCCATATGCCGGGGGGCAAGGCAGAGGAGAGTCCTGCAAGGCCAGGAAACCTCCCGGATTCAGCAATCCTCCCCCAATTCTCCCCTGACACAGGAGGTGGATTTTGGCAGCCCCATAGGCGATGGGGAACGTAAGGGGAGTGAAGGCCAGGGGCCAGGGCCCCAGTGCAGAGGGGCTTTGCCGTGTCCCCGTTCGAAGGCAGGAAAAAGGGGAAAAGAAACAATAGTAATAATAACACCTCTCCCGCCCGCCCCCACTCCCCCGCCATGATGCCACCCCCCCAAACAGAACACAAGCAGCCCTGCGGAGGAGGCCTGCCGGGAGAGGCCGCGCCTCGGGCGTGTGGCGGGCGCACGTGAGGCAGGCGGGGACGCGGCGGGCGCGCTAAAAGGGCTGCCCCGGGCGGCGCGGGGCCGATCCGCCGCCACACGGCGAAGGCCGGGGGTACCGGCCCGCAGCTCTCGCCCCGAGCAGCCGCGCCCCCGCCGCCAGGGCCCCTTTCCACACCGCCTCCCCCACCCCGCCACGTTTTCCCCGAGCCCGGCGCACGCCGCCACCTCCCGGAGCGGGGCCGCCCGACCGCGGGGGCCGCCCCTCGACGGTGGCGGGCTGGCTTTGTCTCCCGAGCGTGTCCGCCGCCGCTGCCGCGCGGGTGCCGCTGCCCCCGCCCCCCGGCGCAACCCTCCTTCCCCGCGGTAAAGCCCGCTAGCCCCGGGGCCCTCCCTCCCTTCTCTCCCATGCGGGCCGCCAACCACCGTGCAACCGCCGAGGCCGAGGCCCCCTCGGCAGCACTGCTCCGCCCGTTACCCCCCGCCGCCAAGGAAGCGGCGGTGTACTAACGGGGTGGGGAGGAAGGCGGGAGGGCTGTGCCCGCATCGACCCGCGGCGGCCCACAGGCGAGGCCCTGGGGAGCAGAAAGAAGGGGAGCCGGGGATAGGGAGAGAAGAGGGGGATAGGAGGCGGCTGCAGCGAGAGAAAGAGGGAGAGAGAGAAGGATACAGACTTCAATGGTGCCCAGCCGTTCAGGTCTGGTGTCTCCTCCTCGCTCTCGCCCTGCGCGCACTGAGCAGCGGCGGCAACAGCGACATCTGAGGGGGGTTGAGGCGGGGGGTGGGGGGAGGGAGGGAGGAAGGGAGGGAAGGAGTGAGTGAGTGAGGGAGGGGGTGGGGAGCGGCGGCGCGGCGCAGCGCAGGGCGGGCGCGGCGGGTGGCGGGGCTGGGCTGGCCGAGCACTGCGCGCCGGCGGCTGACGGGGCAGAGCGCACGACGCCGCCTACGCGCGAGCTGCAACCTCGTACCGTCGTCGCCGCCAGCACAGGAGGGGGGCCAAGACGTCTCTCCAACGGGGGGCTAGCGCAGGACCGCGTCAGGCGTCCAAAAGAAGGAAGATGCCTCGCGGCGACAGAGAAAGCGACTGGGTAAGGTGGGGGGGAACGGGCCCACGGCGACCGGTAACTGCAGCCGCCATGATGGCCGCCGCCATGAGGGCGCGTCGGGCCGGAGCGGGCGCCGCCTGCAGCGGAGCGAGGCCCTCAGGGCGGGAGGGTGGCCCCGGCGAGCTCTGGGAGCGGGGAGGATGGGTAGGGAGCGCTAGGATGTGTTTGAAGCTCGTTGAGGCGGAGATGGGGGGGACGATTGGAGCTCGGCCATTTCCCGCGTTGCGGTGGGGAGGCCTAGTCGTTAGCGAGGAGCAGGGGAGTGGGTTCGGAAAGCTCTGTCGGGTGGAGGAGAGTTTGGGAAGCTCTTCGTTAGTGGGGAAAGGGGTCGGCTGGTGAAGCCTCGCTGCGGTTGCGGAGGATCCGTGCTGGCTTTCCCCGGGAGTTGAGGGGGGAGGGGGAGAAGAGGGGGCGGGAAGAAAGGAGTCGCTCCGGCGCCATTTCCCTGGTGCGCCGGGCGGCAGCACTCACCCTTTGTCGCGGTGCGTGCGGGGCCGCCGAAGAGAGAAAAGAGGGAGGGAGAGGGGAGGGAGAAAGGAAGGAAGAACGGATTGCCGAAGCGGGCGGCGCGCCCGGCGTCGGCGGTGCGGGTAGAGCGGAGCAGGCTGCGGCGAAGTCTGGCTGCCGGGCCCCCGCGGTGTGGCGGCGCTGGCGCCGAAATATGGGTAGTTATTACTTCCTCCTGCCCAGGGGGAAGGGGCCAGGCCGGCAGCGACCGGGGGAGATCACGGGGGTGCGCTCCACTCTGCGCTCGCCTGATCCCTGCCACCACCACAGGTGACTAAGGGGAGGGCAACGGGGGGGGGGGGCGCAATACGAGGCCGTCTTCGGCTAATTATAACCACGCGCTTCGAGGCTTGAGCTTTCGGGGCCGTTCGGCAATTTCCGGAAAGAAAAAAAAAAAAAAGCGACACGGTGCCAGTCGCGATCGGGGTCGCTTCGGCCCGTATTGCGAGTCTCTTCCGTTGCCGGAAATTGCCGAACGGGCTGGAGAGCCGAGGACTTGCTGCGTCTGATTCTCCGGAAATTGCCGAGCAGACTCCGACTGCTGCTCTGTCATCTTCGGCAAGTTCCGGAAATTGCCGAAGGGAGTCGAGTGAGCTTCCATTGCCGTTTCGGCTTTTTCCGGCGACTGTCGAAACGGATAAGCTCGACGACAACGACTCCTTCGGCTCATTTCGGAGACAGCCATTACTAGCGGAGTTGATGAGTTTTTATTACGTGGTAAAAAGACGTAGGGGCGTTACACAGAACTGCTGCCCCTCTGGAGATATTTAAGCTCCAGATTCAAGCTTTTTAATTTTTTTTTTTAACTCAAACCTCGGACGCGAGCCCTGGTTGGAGAAGGAGGGCGCTAGCACTACGTGGAGCTGAATTTAAAATTACGTAACAGGGCAGCCATTATTGACCGGTTGTACGGTACTCTCAAGCAGGAATACCTAAACCATGAAGAATGTGGTACGTAAAAAAGGATAAATCCAGAGTTTGCTTTTAAGAAGGGTGGCACGCTTGGTTTTGAGTTCGGAGTGATTTTTTTCTGGGCCTGGGTGTTAAGAGCAGGATAATCCTTGTCGGTACAAGGCGGGCTGCCGGTCGGCGCGCTGCGGCTAGTGGGCTGGATGACTTTCCGAAGAGGTAGCGTTAAGCGGGGAGGAAGGTTCTGGAAGCGGAGGTTGGGGCTAATAACGCAGGCGAGAGAGGAGGCGGTAGCCGCTGGGGGCGAGTTTTTAAACCGCTTAACGTACCCGTTAGCCGATCTGCCGTTAAGGTGCCGCTGGAGGAGGGGGCCGCAGCTCTTACAGGGTAAGTCAGTGCGCGATCTGGGGGTCGCCTTTGCCCTGCGAGGAGCTGGGCTGCCGGGGTGGCGCTGCTAGTAATGGCGGTGGCGAGGGGGAGGGGTAAAATGGCGGCTCTGAGGTCCGTCGGTGCGTGAGGCTGTGAGGATGGCTCCGGTGCCGGGAAAGGTAGTAAGGCGGGGCGGGCCGGGGCAGGCAGCTGTGGTCGTGTCGTGTAGGGGGGGGCGAAAAAAGCCTTTTTCCTGGTTCCGTGCATTCCTAGATGCACGCTAGAAGCGGCTCGCAGCGCTTGGTTGCCGTTCGGTTCGAAGTTCCAGGTGGCCTTTTTTGTTTGCTTTGGGGTGGGTTGGTTTGTTTGTGGGCGGCTTTTTTTTGGTTTTTTTTTTATCAATTGGGCTTGATCTTTCCGAAAGTTGTTAACTTCGCCGTATCGCTGTCCCTGGGGGCGGCGGCTGCTGCTGGGCGCCATTTTCCCCTCCTAGCTGCGGGGCCCTGTTCTGCTGGTCTCTGCCACATGGCGGAGCCGGCACGGTCACCGCTTCACTCGTGATAACGATAGGCGGGGGAAGGGAGAGAACCCGGACGTTACATCAAAAAAGCCCTGCCGAACGAATTGGGGCTGACGGAGCGCTTAGAGAGGGATCTGTTCGGGACTAGTAAACCTAGCTTTACTTTGGCAGGCCTCGCCATCGTAATTCAGACATCCTACTCGCTTGTCTTTCTTTCAAAACCAGTTTTGTTACTCGGTTTCTTAACTGCAGAAGTCTGGTCAGCTTGGAGTGTTTGTGCGCACATTATTGCTATACGCGACACATTTTCTTGCTCTGATGGTGATTTTCCAGTAAAGGCTGCGCATTGTTAAGCCCTTTCAAGTGTTGCTTTAAGCCTGCGAAGGAAGGCCTGAAATAAGCGCTAATGAAGACCCTACAGAGTTCATTTGCATTCTGTTCCTGCCACAGAGTGTACTATGCAAATCTTGAGGCTTTTTTTTACAGCTTTTATACTGGGGGGGGGGGTGTGTGGGGTGTGTGTTACTAAATAGGGGGTTTCAGCAGAATTTTGAGGAGGACTGAAGTTACAATTTCTGTTGTGCATTTTACAGCTTCAGCCTAAACATCACATGGTCAGAGCTCTCTGGACCCTGGTGGGAGGTTAATGCTTAGACTAACCAGAGCTTAAAACTGACACATTTAAGGTGCATAGTCTCTCCACATCCAGAGGCTGTGCATGTATCAGTAGAACAACGTGTTTATAATATTTTCACGCAGTGGTTTTAGTTGAAGAACTGGTAGTGTGAATTTAGTTATTGCTGTGTCCTGTTGTGTGGTGTCTAGATGTTGTTCTGGGTAGGACATGTACTGCATAATACATGGTAAGTTGCTGTTACTAGTAATTTGAATGTCTATAAAGCGTGTTACTATCCTGCTTAATGTTTATTAGTAATGTGTGGTATGTGTTTTGTCCCTTTAAAAAAAAATGCAGTTGTTTCAGCCAGTGGATGCCATTCTTTCCTTGAGTTTCATTTACGTGTTTATAATTGTTTTCAACGGTAAAACTAATGCTTAACTGGACAAATTCTACCTGCCTACTTCCTTGCTTGATTCGCAAAATTTTTAAGAATATAAACTTGCATTTGTTAGACGCACAACAGTTATATGGGGAAAAGTGTCTTTTGTAGCAAGTAGTCCCTAATAATTTTCAAGCAGGAGATACGAAATAATTTAAAGGCAGGATTTTTTTTTTTTTGCAGTATCGTTGCTTAAAATTATTTTTCTGCTAGCCTACTCAAATTATAAATGGTAGTATAACTTGCAGCATGGGACTTCTTAGTCCAAGTCTGGCATGCAGTATCCTTTACTCCTTTTAAGAGATGAGGTGAAGGAAACTTGACGTAATATGGGTTTGCTGCTTTCAAACTCTCATGTCTAATTTTGCCTGTATGTATGGGGTGGGGGATGACAGTACTAGCTTCTGTGCTGCTTTACTACATCCAACAGCAGATTTCAAATGTTTTTACGAGACATTTAAACTGATTAGTTGACTTATGTGTCACACTGCAGCATTTCAAGCTAGTAATAGTGTGATCTGTTTGAGCAAAACCTTACTCAGTGTTGGGTTCAGTAATTTGCATCTACATGCATCTAGAACCAGGCCTGCCCTGCACAACTCCAGAAAACATTTTGGTCCATGCACAGATTGGCTTCGTACTTCTGAAGCATTTGTGCACTGTGAACTATTTAGTTTATTTTCCAGATTTCATGGTTTTTCATTGGTTGTCCAGTTTCCTTTTAATGTTTATCTTAATGTTCAGGTCGTGTTGTGTTTGTTAGTTACAGCTGACTATGCAGTGTATGGGTTTGAAAAACAACCACCACCCTAAAGAAGACATGAAAACAAACCCAAGCGGTTTTCTTAACTTTTAAAATTAGTTAACAGTATAAAGCTGAAGTAATACTGCATTTCCATTGTCTTGTCCTTAGCAGGACAATTCTTTCAAACAACATTCTGAAATCTTAGATTTTGTGTAAGGGAACACTTCTAGTGCACTTTTTTTAATTACTGCTATTTGATATGTGAAATTGAAAAATGTATGTTGTGTGTAGAGAACTACAGTTATGATGCCTCCTTAGTGCAAAAAGTTAGTATTAATAGTATTTTGAATTTGTAGAGGATGGAAGGTTGTCCTTCCTGCTTTGATATAAAGCATAGAGAGTAGTAAATGCAATACCTTATTATTTGTCTTGGGTTTTTTAATAACACACTTATCACAGCCAAAGCTTCTGCTGAACAAATGCAAGGATAATAATTCTGAAAGGTGATAGAACAGTCTTACTAAAGGCATCATTTATATTACTGGACATATATGCAGATATGTATTGCATCTGTATTTTCAAAGGGAATCCACTTAGTTTTGATACTGGTGCTGTTGAGGCTGTATAGGTTTACCGTTAATTCCAGTGGTACAGGATCCCAGGTTAATTTTACAGATGCTCCAGCAACACCTTATTTTTAATGCCCTGGGTAAGCAGTATGAATGGTATTCATCTACAACAACTTGAGCCAGAATGTTAGGGGTTTTTATAGATAACACAAATTCATTCATACTGTACAATTCTGTTCCACATGGTTATCTGTAATGAGAACTTTTGGTTTTGTTTTTCTTTAAAAAGCATTTCCTCAAGATTTTTATAGTAATATTCTGGAAGTCTTCTGTTATGTCTCCTTGTTCTGATATTTCAAGGGAGAGATGGAAACAATACATTACTAAAATCTGTATGGTAAAAGTGGACCCATATAATTGAATAATTGCGTCATTTCTTGAATAATGGTAGAACACTAGAAAAGCCATGCCTGGTTTTGAAAACTGATGTTGATGACGGTTTTTGACATGACATATCTTAGTGTCTTAATTATGCTGGTGCAGAGGGCCTATTGTTAATTACATTAACGTAATCTTCTTTTCTGTAGAGGGAAAAGGAACAGTTCCGCAAACTGTTCATTGGCGGCTTAAGCTTTGAAACAACAGAGGAAAGCTTGAGGAGTTACTACGAGCAATGGGGAAAGCTTACAGACTGTGTGGTAAGTTTGGCATACTAGCGCACAAATCTTACACAGAATGTTTAGAAATTGCAGAAGTGGGGATTTTTTTCCTGGGTAGCTTAACGGAAATGCGGAATATGAAATTTCTTGCATGTACAGTAGATTGATTAGTAAAGAATCCAGTCTGTTGAAGCTGTGTTCAGGCTTTCCTTTGTGAACTCTGGGAAGATTTCACAATCTGTTTCCTGTAAATCTCTCAGATTATCTCTATAACCACGGACTTCAGCAGTTTAACATTAACTTGGGTGTCATTGGTTGAAGTGCGTTAGGAAGTGCTTACACAGAACTATTACATCTGTGTGATTGGTAACCTTCGGCATAAAGCTGATGCTGTAAACATCCTCAGCAGAGCTGGAAAAGGGTGTCTTTATGTATGATGTTTTCATAGAATTATTTAGGTTGAAAAAAAAAAACCTTTAAGATCCTTAGTCCAACTGTTAACCTGACATTGCCAAGTCCACCCTTAAACCATGTCCCTAAGGACCATATCTGTTTGTCTTTTAAATACCTCTAGAGACTGTGACTCTTGCAGAAGTTCCCACACTGTATTTGTTTTGGGGACAGTAAATACATCATAAAGTCTGTGGTCTTCAGAAATCTTAAACTGTGTTTGATTTTTTTGTGAAAACAAACATAAATATAAATGAATGTGACATGATAGAGGAGCATTTTGGAGTTACAGGTAGTCATGGAGGACAAGAGTGGTTTGAATTTCAGTGATGCCAAGCAGTGCCATTCATGTACGTTCAGCATGGGTGGTTCAGCATAGCCTGCTGCTTTATTATAATCGTTTTGAAATCAAATAGAGGAACATATAAATTAAGTTTACATGTTTTCTCCAAATATTAGTCTTTAAGCTTAACATGAGACAGGTAGAAATTGTTTAAATGTGTTCATCGGTTTTAGGTAATGAGGGATCCTGCAAGCAAAAGATCAAGGGGGTTTGGTTTTGTAACATTCTCCTCCATGGCTGAAGTTGATGCAGCCATGGCTGCAAGACCTCACACAATTGATGGAAGGGTGGTTGAGCCTAAGAGAGCTGTGGCTAGAGAGGTAAGTGTGGCTTTGAAAGCAGATAATTTTCATGCTTTGAAAAAGGAATATCTGTATCACTGGGACAGTTAAGCTTTGTTCTTGTTTGAAATTGCCTGGGTTTAAATTTTCTAGTTAAAATGCATAGTTGGGGCACTAATTCCCACATGTTTGGTCTGTTAAATGACACTATTACATAAATGTTTATTATTACAATGAAATTATTCTGGGTGTAGAATTGTGTATGCAAGGGATGCAGCTGGGGTCTCAAAGTATTGTTAGTGAAAAAATGTTGAATGCCAGGGATTGTGCAGATTCCAAACTAATTCTTGTCTGAAATGGTTATTGTTATTAAACGTCAAATTAATAAACTTCTGTCAGTCACTTCTGACTTTATTCCAACATTTTGGGTATTTCTAAAAGGTATGTAACCCAAAATAGCTAAAAGTAGAGTGTGTAGTAGGGAAACTTCTTACTTCAGTGGTGGTGTACAAAATCGCCTTAGGACTATTCTGGGTTTAGCCACAGGCATACTGATTTTTAAAACTTGCAGGGTACAAATCAGGTGTGCACATAGGAATGCAGTGAACCAGTAAACAGCCAGGTTACTGTGGCACAGAGGCACTTGAGCAAGTGTAGATTCTAGGTTACTTCTGCTTGCTGTGTTGTGGAAGCTCTGAGAGTGTTTACAAGTTCAGGGGTGGACCCAGGTGTTTATTAATACATTTGGACTGATGAACTGGATTAAATAAGCTGTCCAAGAGGTCAAGGGAAATGGAAATAGCAACCACTGGTAGCCAGAGTTTTAGCTTTACTGGTTTTCTTTCTGTTCCCTGCAGAATGCAGGGTTGGTTAGCATTTGGAAGGGGGTAATCAAAGCAGTATACATGCATACTGTTCATACACACAAAGCTGTTGCTAAGCTGTAGGAACAAGACATACTTGACTGCTGTAGCAGCTTGGATATCATGCTCAAATGGTAAAAGTAGTCTGTGAGTGTGAGGAATTGCTTCATATTTTGAATAAGGGTTAAAATGCACAGCTGTGGGCTCACTGAGATTGAGGGACCTTTGCTGTGGATACCAGTGGAATGTGGGTTTCATTGCTGTTGGGTGAAGGGCAGAGGAAGCTGATGTGTCTTTATGTTTAAAGGCTTTTTATTGACTTTCATGTATTTTATAGCACTTCCCAGTGCTTTTGAGGCTTTGACATAAAGGTGTGGGAGGAAAAACCTCAATGTCCCCATGTTACTTCCTTCTCAGAAAGCTTCCCCGGCAGGGTTGCAGGGATATGCATTGCTAGGGGGAATTCCATTCCTGAAATCCTGGCAAAATAGTGATTTGTGAAATGTTTTTCTTTGTGATAATGTAAAACAATTCTAACAGGAATCTGGAAAACCTGGTGCTCATGTTACTGTGAAAAAACTGTTCGTTGGTGGTATTAAAGAGGACACTGAAGAGCACCACCTTCGTGACTACTTCGAGGAATATGGAAAAATTGACACTATTGAAATTATTACTGACAGACAGTCTGGTAAAAAGAGAGGGTTTGGATTTGTTACATTTGATGACCATGATCCGGTTGATAAAATTGTGTGTAAGTAAGCTTCATTTCACTCATTCGATAGTATTAATCCTTGCAGTCATGGTAATGGTTTAAGCTAAACTGAAACTAAATTAGTAAGTACTGGCTTCTTTGCTTAAAAAATGGTATGGGGTTTTGTTTGCTGCTTTTTTTGTTTTTTTTTTTTTTTTTTTTTTTTGTTTTGTTTTTTTTTTCCTTTGTTGGTTCGGGGTGGGGGTAATTACCTGGAATATGTATGGATTAATTTGAAAATAGCTTAATTTTTGGAAGCCTGATATTCTTGCTTGTTGCCAGATTAGTACTTAAATGCTGATAATATCTATTTGATGTGCTTACAGTGCAGAAGTACCACACCATCAATGGCCATAATGCAGAAGTAAGGAAAGCTCTCTCTAGACAGGAAATGCAGGAAGTTCAAAATTCTAGGAGTGGGAGAGGAGGTATGTACAAGTAATGGGTAATGGTTTGTGGTTGATGTTTGTGTTCACTTTCCATGATCTCACTGCTTACAAATGTTGAAACTTACAGGGAACTTCGGTTTTAGTGATGCACGTGGAGGTGGTGGCAACTTTGGTCCGGGGCCTGGCAGCAATTTCAGAGGGGGAGCCGGTAAGACAGGCATGTTTGTAGCACTTTTTTTTTTCCTTATTTATACTGTCTTTCCAGTTCTGGATAATTTTCTAAGCTACTGTGGTTTAGTTTAAATGTAGCTGTAGCAGTTTGAGAAGTTTTGAGAAAAATGACTTACAGACCTCTTCTGGAGTATGTAGATTAATTACATGGATATTCAGTAAATTATATATTTTTTTTTTTTTTAAGATTTTATTTAAAGGCAAAATTAAATTAAAAAAATCAGTATGGAATTCCGAGATCTAATCTCTGCAATTCTATGCAGCACTTGCCTGACCTTTACAGTGGAAGGGCCATGTCCAAAATTAGAACTTACGTACCTTACGAATGCAAGAGAATGTAAAAGATGTAAAGCAGTGATTGGATGTGTTATTTAACATCTGTTCTTCGAAATTCAGGAGTGTGTACGTGTGCTTGATAATCTTTGAGGTTTTGTCCCTAAGGTCATAGGGGTTTGAGAATTCAGTTAGTTTGCTACAGCTGAATTTAAATACTTGTGGATTTTTTTTCCAACAGATGGATATGGAAGTGGCCGTGGATTTGGTGATGGATATAATGGATATGGTGGAGGACCTGGAGGTAAGTTTACGGTGGTGGTGGTTGTTTTCCAATCAGAAATATTTCTACATTCACTTAACATTTGTATAAATCCTGTATTAGTTGACAAGACCATTTTGTTGGCTTTCAGGAAGCACACTCAGCTGTTGGCTCATGATAAGCTTCTGTATATGGCAAATTGTATGGTTATTTCTTCGACAACTGTACCCTTTTCTTTAGAGCAGTAGTTTTTCTTAAATTTCCTGGGAAAAGTCAGGCTTTTAATTAAGCCTTTTAATTGAAGCTTTTAGGCAGTCTTGACTGGTGGGTTTTGCTTTTTAAAAGTGTTCATAGAAATTTCTTTACAGAATTCTGACTCTTTCTTCCCCTGTAGATGTCTAAACAGAAAAGTATCCTCTGATTCTATGTAATTTGGTGCCCTTCTATACTGAAAAGTTTATTTTAAAGGATTATATTGTCATAGGTGGCAACTTCGGTGGCAGTCCTGGTTATGGAGGAGGAAGAGGAGGATATGGTGGAGGAGGACCTGGATATGGCAACCAGGGTGGAGGCTATGGAGGTGGTTATGACAACTATGGAGGAGGTACTGGCTTGAAATGACCTAACATCTCGGTTGTAAATTAGTGCGATTCATTTGAGGTGGGTGGTGGGTGAGTAGGAGGTGTAAATGTTTAAGGAAACTCTTGTTTTCTGAATAGTATAAAATGGTGAAAAAGCGGTTCATTGCATATACTAGTGACATGTGTGATTTTGTACTTTAATTTAAAATGCTAATGATGAGATAACTTTGAGTGACCTGTGTTTTAGCTCACCTAGATTTTTCTACACTTTTATCTTGATAACACAGGCAATTATGGAAGTGGAAACTATAATGATTTTGGAAACTACAACCAACAACCTTCAAACTATGGTCCAATGAAAAGTGGGAATTTTGGTGGAAGCAGGAACATGGGGGGACCATATGGTGGAGGTATTGTATATGTCGTGACCTGTCTTGGAACCAGAGTGGGTGGGCTTTTTAGTCTTTTTCAGGAAGTGGAAGCTAAGATTCAAGGGGTAACTGTTTTGAACTGAAAGGGTAGAAGGAAGAAATTCTTTACAGTGAGGGTAGCAAGACGCTGGAAGAGGTTACCCAGAGAAGTGGGTGTCACATCCCTTGAGGCGTTTAAGGGCAGGTTGACTGGGCATTGAACAGCCTGGTGTAGTGGAAGGTGTCCCTCCCCATGGTGGGCAGGGGTTGGAACTAGGTGGTCTGTAAAGGTACCTTCCAACCCAAACCATTCTATGACTCTAGAATTGATATGTAGAAATAGGGTAACTTCTAAAAGAGATGGAGTGCAGTACTCATTGTAGCAAGTTGGCTACAATTTCTTGACACTGTGACAAGCTTGTCTTGGGAAGAATTATTACTACTATTTTTTTTTAAGATATGTAAAAGCTTAAAGATATTTAAAAGCTTTTTCCAGAACAGTGAAATGTTTTGCAGTTTCCAGTCTGTAAAGATGTTTAGCCAAGTCTCGTGTTCTTTGCTATCAGTTCACACTACTTGTGGGAAGCCTAGTTAATGTCTGCTAAACTTTCTGGGATTTTTCCTCCCCCCACCAGCATCACTTCTTCTGACACCTTCTACTTTTGGTGTCTAAATGTTACTTAATATGGCACAAAGTTTGTGAAACAGAAACTGAAACACAAAAGCCTATATTTGTAAGGTGTTACCATGCAAATAACGTCAACCCTCACAGTCTTAAGACAGTACACTGCATCAAATTGCACGTGGCACTGTTGAATCTTCCAAGAGTTTGGGATGTAATTTTTGTGGCAGGTATTGGAGGCTGTTTGGAGGAAGACAGCAAAACTTGAAAACTGTTGCTGTATAATGCTGTCTCTGGGAAATAAAGTGATGTTAATCTTCATGCAGAACCAAAAGCGTTCCTAAATGTAAATGATGTAACTGCTCTCTTTCTTGGTTTTGTGCAATTGCAGGAAACTATGGTCCCGGGGGCAGTGGAGGAAGTGGTGGATATGGAGGGAGGAGCCGTTACTGAGTTTCTGCAAGCATGCCATGGGTAAGTATGTTTCTAAGTGTTAAAATTGCAGTGATTCTTGAGAGTAGCTACAGGAGTTAAAAGCTTTTTAGGATCATATTATCTTTCCTTTAAAAAATGGTTAGATGAATAATTTCATAACCTATTTTTTTACTCTTTACTTCTGTTGAAACAGGCTTCACTGTATAAATAGGAGAGGATGAGAGCCCAGAGGTAACAGAACAGCTTCAGGTTATCGAAATAACATTGTTAAGGAAACACTTATCTCAGTCATGCATAAATATGCAGTGATATGGCAGAAGACACCAGAGCAGATGCAGAGAGCCATTTTGTGAATGGATTTGGATTATTTAATAACATTACCTTACTGTGGAGGAAGGATTGTAAAAATGCCTTTGAGACAGTTTCTTAGCTTTTTAATTGTTGTTTCTTTCTAGTGGTCTTTGTAAGTGTAGAAGCATTCCTTTGATAATGTTAAATTTGTAAGTTTCAGGTGACATGTGAAACCTTTTTTAAGATTTTTCTCAAAGTTTTGAAAAGCTATTAGCCAGGATCATGGTGTAATAAGACATAACGTTTTCCTTTTAAAATTTAAGTGCGTGTGTAGAGTTAAGAAGCTGTTGTACATTTATGATTTAATAAAATAATTCTAAAGGAAATATTGTGTAATTTTAGATTTTTTTTTTAATATTGTAAAATAAGGCAAGGAGTGGGTAGTATAAGGTCCCACAAATAATATAAAGCTATTGTTGTACATGTAAAATTAAATGTTGGTCAGAAAAAAAGTATGTTGTCTGTAAATGATCAGGTTTAAAGTATCTAGATAACTTAAGGGATATCTCTGCAAGGAGAAACACCTTTTTAGATCTTTTAGATGCTGCTTCTTCAATGGCAAGGAAAGGAAATATCCCCAGCGAGGTACTCTTCCAGGGACACAGGTCTAGTACAAGAGAACTCTTGAAAACGTCACTAAGTTCAGCCAGTCTTAAAAAGCTGCGCTGTATTTCTGCAAAGTTTTAACTACAGTAGTTTATAAGGATGCGAACGAAGGCTGAGGGTGTAGAGCAAAGTAGTTCTAAGCTTCAGTTAAACTTCTTTAGGTAAGATCTTATTTACTTTTCTTTTCTTAATGTTCCAAAACTGAGAAACTAATATTGTATTACAGTATATTCTTTCAGTATAGTGATTATTGTTATGTAGTTTTAACATAGCAATGAATTGAGTTAACGATTACCAATTGAAAAGACATTTGTGAATCCTGTTTTCTTGTATTAAATTTTTTACAAACAAATTTTTGTTAATTTCAGCTACTTAACATATTTTTTTCCTACTGGAATCTAGCTATGATATGAACCCTGGACAAGCATAGACTGCTGCCACTGTACACTGCTACAGTTGAACAAATGAGACCTGCAAGTGTCCATTAGTAAAGCTTTGCAAGGGTTCCATCCCTGGTGTTGATAGTTAAAATGGTAGGTCACAAGTTAATTAAATTGTACAACTTTATTTTTGCATCCTGGAACGTTTTATTTTTTCTTGGGAGTCTATGCATTATGGTGCTTGCCAGGTAATGCGGTGATAGTAGTTCTGCTGTTGAAAATGATCTGTGTTGTTATGTCTGTTTGTCTACTGAAATCTATTTTGTATAACATGTTTCATCCTGAAGGTTCCCAAGTAACTGTAGACTGTTTACGTGTAAGGAAAAAATTGCACCACAGAATACAACTGCCTCTGTGAAGGAATGTGTCGTCCATTCTTTTAACAACTGCATAAGCAGTTCTTTAGGAGGGGAAGTGAAAACTTCAAATGAAACTGCAGGTGGTATTTCATAAGTGTATAATTGTGTAAATTGGGAATCGGCTAGAATGTTGAGGTTTCCACCATTTTTTATAGTTCTTGCAGCTAATAAACCTTAGTGCCAAATTCAGTCAGCCTTAATCTCACTGCATTGAGTGTCTGCACCTCAAATTAATGAAAATCTACCAATAACAAGTTAACTCGGAGTAAGGGTGGCATACTCGACTATGTTTGGGTTTTACATAAAAATCAACAAAACCCACCCCAAAAGGCAACCAAAAAAACACCCTAATTTCCAAGTTCCTTTGCCTTTAAAAGGTTTTCTACTGAAGAACGTGGACTCAGCAAATAAAAAAAAAAGGCCTGTTCCTTTGTGTTAGACACACCAGTGAACTGCTTATACTTTTAAAAAACAAACAAAAAAAAAAGGCTGAAGTTTCCCTACTGGTAATTTGGTTTAGACATATGTGATAAACATCTTCAGATACACTTTTTTTTTCTTTGGCAGGAAGGTGCCATGCTGCAGGTAACTAATGAAGAAGTGGTCAACCACAGAAACGCTTCAAGAAATAAGAAATTCTGTACCATCAGAAAATAGTTGTTTTTGCTGCCTTCATTAAAAATCTAGAGGTTAAATGAGTAAAAGATCACAATTAGTACAGCTCCCTGTAATGCTGGGTTTTTTAAATTATAGTCATAATGTCTTGTAAACCTTTCAAATAAAATTCAGGTTTAGTAGGAGAAACAAATCACTAATGTTAAACCAGCAAACGTTCTGTGAGTAGAAAGTTTAACTACATATTTTTATAACTTTCATAGCTTTAAAATAAAGTATTTTTTATACCAAAATAGTTCTAGTGTAATGCTTAATAATACCTAGTGTTTGTCTAACATTAAATAATGTTTATGTGCAGCTTTTAGACCCTTTCATGATTTGAAACGTTCCATTTTGAGATGGATTTAAAACAAAATCAGCTTGGCAAGTGTATTCACAGAACTTGTATCTCTGACCATAACCATCTGTTCTCTGGTGAGAGAAACAATGCTACAGATTAAAAACATTGATCTTTTTGCTCATGGACACAACTGCTTTAAAATAGCTTTTTGGCTGTGTTTTATATCACTTGATAAAAATACTTTCTTCTTTCCTGTTAATGAAACTAACAAGACAGTTTGTCAGAATGTGATAGGACAATAATAGCCTTATCCTTTTCACCTGTAAAGAGGTTTTAGTATGAAAAGATTGAATGGAATGTAGAGTTCCTGCTGTACAAAAACTGTATTACTGAGAGCTGCATCTTGGGGGGGGGACACGCCACAAAAAATTACTTCCACCCCCCCCCCCCCCCCCCCAAAGAAAAACCTCAACAAGAAAAGACATCACCCCTAAAAAACACTCACCAAACCAAACTCCCAGGTGTGAGCTTGGGAAAGCTTCAGTTGGGAATGTATTTGAGGGAAGGTATCTTCAGTCTGTACTATTAACCTGTTAACATACACAGTTTATTGTAAACCTGAAATCTATGTGGTTAACTTCAGCAGAATCATAATATCTTTAACCTTATCTTATAGAATTCAAAATACTGTTTAAGGATTCACATGCAGGTTTTTTCTGTTCCTTAAATTGCGCTTCAGAATATTTGCATAGGTAACCAGTGGGCTGCAGCGGAAGCAGGAAGTGAAGATGCACAAAATCTGCTTTACTTTTCTTCTTTCCAACAGAACGAGTTGACCAGATAATAAGGAATTTGCGTTTTTTCATGTAATTTAGATTTAGCTGATGGAAGTTTTTCTTTACAGTTGCCAAGTCCACTTTCATACAACATTAAAAAATAAAAAACCAGTGGTTCAAAGGGGAATAATATGCTTTTTCTTGCTGTTTGTGATACTTAAACTCTTTCAGTAGTTTTGCAGCAAGGTGTCGAATTTAATTTTAAGTATGTTCTATTTTCCATAATGAGGATGTTTTATTTGTGGTCTTACTGGTGACGTGAAGGAAGTGTATAGGGAATGGCAGTATGTGAAAACTCAGTTACTGGGTATCTCAAGTTCTGAAAGCTTACACTGTTGCACTTTCATGACATTTCTTTCTTGGTACGTTCTTAAGTATGTGACAAATGGTGTTTGCTGATCAGTTCACTGAGAGAAGTCGCCATTTTGAGTCAGCCTGATAGAGAAAGCTAGCAACTTCACTAAAAACAACTGTGTGTGGTCAATTACTGGTCTTTAAATTTCAAATAAATAGGTTTTTGTCACTCCTACTGACTTAATTTTCAAAGTAAGGTAAACAGTGATGGTCAATGCTTACTAAGAACTAAGGATCAGGTTGGTACTGGGCTCAGCTTGCCCCTGGCAAATACTTCCTGCAGTAAACTGAGGGGAGGGAAGGGTGTGAAAGAAAGTAACTTGTTGGTAACCTATATGAGGAAAGAAAGAAATCCCAAAAGCTACAACGTGTGAGTTGCAATTTAGAAAGCGGTGGTATACAGAGGTCTGTACTACAGTTCTGGCTACTTTGACTTTGTGTTCTCTGTGTTACTTACAATGAAAGTTAACTTTTATTCAGGTCTGTTTGCCTCAGGTTCTGAAGAGTGTTTAGGGAACTAGCAAAATTTCATCCAAGAATTGACCATTGTAAAATTAGCAGAAACTGTCGCATGTGGGGAAGAAGAAATTTTTTTTTTTTTCCTAGTTTTATAAGAAATGTACGCATTATCTGGGAAATGAAATCAGTACTACTGGGAATGAAAATAAACATACAAATTTTGAAGGAGCTGTCAGTTGATTTTTTTTTTTTGGCAGCTTGAGCACATTTGTGAAAGGGATGATTTGCTCAGGAGATGCTGGAACAGGACGTTCCTTGTCCCTTCATCGTTTCAGTTTGTTTTCAAGTGACAGTCATGCAAGTGACCTCTAATAGTGCTATTTTTTTTTCCTCCTCAAGGTGCCAGGTTCTCATTTACACTGGTAGGAATGCCTGAGAGTGTAACATAGAAAGGTTTTCTTGAGTAATGTTGATAAAGTACTGTCCTTTTTAACAGTAGTATCTTTGCTTTGGAGCAGAAGTTTGTGTTGTCAAGAGTTAACTGCAGTTAACCAAGAATGGTTTGTCAGCAGTAAAAGTAAACTGTTCTAAGTGGCTATGTGACTTGTCTGATGGGAGTGTTAGGAACATACAAGGTTTGGGGGACCATGTAGTTTACAAACAGTGCGACCTGTGCTGCTGCATTGTATGAACAAGGTGTCTGGACAAGTCCTACAAAACTGGTGTTCCCCTTAAGTTCTCACCAACCCATCTCTTCCCACCATCCCCCAGCTTCCTCTTTTCATCTTTCATGGTCCTTTTTGGGCATTCTTGAATAAAAATTGATGTCTAGTGCATTTGGTGGAGTTAGTCACAATGCTTTTATGAGGTATGCTACAGTAATAAAACCTAAGATGGCTGCATTTCCATCTCTATTTGATTTATTTAATAAATATTTTTTCACTAGAACCTGGTGCTGAGTGTCGCTTCATTTATAGGCCTCTACCTCACTCCTGTTACAACCATGCTTCTGACTCCCATAAGATAAAAATGTAGTGGGTGTATTTTGGGACAAATAGCTGTTAAAACAGGCAAACTAATCTTGAAGTTGTTTTGCCCTTTCTTCAAAGTTTGTTAATCCAGTTACTAAAGCTAGATTGTAAGCCTTGAGCGGGACAGTGTGAACTTTAGTTTTCTGTAAAAAGCCAAGCCTGTTGAATAAAACCAAAATGTGAAGCTGAAGCTGCACTTCAGTGCAGTGCTGTTGGTGGTCATTCAAAGTGTGGCGTGTTCTAGCATTATAGCATGTCTCTTCCATGAGGGCTTACTGGTGGTATGCCTGAATGTGAACGTTCAGCCTGATGTGTTGCAAGTGGTGCTTAGGGTACTGTATTCTAATAAAGGGTGGTTCATCTGTGTTCAGTTTTGATGAATGCTTCTGTAAAAAGGTATGTATCTAAGAGCAGCTAGTAGCTAATGCTGCTCTGTCGTTGTGTGTTGCAGTACTGGGGAAGGTAATCCATGTTTTATGATTCCCTCGCCGCCCATGTTTTTTGTTTGTACTTAATCTTTTTTCTGACCTCTTGCGGATAACCTCTTTTCATTATTAATTCAACAAAAAAGTTCACTTCCTGTGTTACAGACTAGTTTTAGCATGGGAACAGCATTGCAGTGAGAACACCGACAGTGGTGGTATTTCCAATTTTTGTTGCTGTATTAAGAGCTTTGACTTTTGTGTTCTCTGTGTTACTTACAATGGAAATTTTTTTTCAGGTCTGTTTGCTTCAGGTTCTGAAAAGTGTTTAAGGAACTAGCAAAGTTCCATCAAAGAATTAACTACAAACCTCTGCTTTGCAGTTGTATAGTGGTATAACAAGTTTCATAAAGTTTCTCATTGTTCTTGCTTCAGACTGATGGATATTTTTTCCATGTTAATATCTAGTAAAGTAGGATACAGTCCTAACAGCTTTTTCACTAGACATTGGCTCCAGGGTGTGATACACATCCTGTCTCATACAACATAGTTCCTGGTTTGGACACTGGATTTCGGTTTCTTGAAGGTTACAGTCTTGACACTGAACTAGTGCCGATAGACTTCAGTCAGGGGGGGCTTCTGTCTCTTAAAACCATTTCAGTTTTAAGTTTTCTTTAACAATGCTGGTTTGAATAGCTACCTGACTCCTGTGCAGTGTGTCCTTTTTGTATACAGGTTGAAAACACAGTATAAACCCATTGTATGAAGTGTATTAAAAGGGAGCCCTTGTCGTGGAAGGAAAGCCAGAAATTACCAATGTTTTTTAGGTGAAACAATGGCAGTTGATTGAAAAAGCATGACCTTGTTCTGAATTCTGCTTACAGTTTTCTCTCTGGGAAGGTAGCCGAAGGTTTGAGAAAATGTCATAGTGCATCCAGGCGTACAGCTCAGTGCCTGTGTCGTCGGTGCTGTTGCAACTCTGCAATGTTAACTTGCCTCAGATATTGTAGGGGGATAGTGGCTAGTTGAGTTCTCAGAAGTTGAGATTCATGCATAAACTTTTAAAATGTAGTTGTTGAACGATGAGAGTGGAATGAGCTGAGGGCAGTTCATGTTGCCTGCACATTGCACATGGAAAGTAATGGGATGGGGTTGAGGTAAGGGTATTGGGGCTCATGTCTTTATATGGGTCATCTGGAGTATGCAGCTTGCTTATTAGGATTGTGGTCTGAAGGAGTTGCAGTGTGCTTCCTTGTTTTCAGCATGTGTCGATGTCCAATTGTTTAACTGTTACCGAGTTGGGTGTAGGCTTTTCTTTTTAATCCCTTCCTGTGTAGGACTCTAGAAACTTGTGTATTGCAAGGTCCTAAAAAGAAAATACTTGGGCTTCTAGTTCTTACAGTTATGGGCCCAACCTGTTACCTGTCAAATTTTGTGCACATGAACTAAAGACCTTAAATACACTTTTACCCTTTGGATCTAGAAATAAAGTTCACAATTCATCATATATATCTGCTGTTACATGTTTTGGTTGATGTTCATGAACTAGCAGTTAGATAAATTCCTTGTCGATACCAGGTAGGATAGATAAGCTTCACACCGATGCTTTAACCAGTAACAAAATTTCAGGGTCTGAAAGTTTCTGCTGTGAATTTACCCTATCAGTTCATGGTGGTGGCAAAACTGATAAATAGAAGAACAGATACATTTGTTCAAATAAATTTTTTTAATATAAAACGCAGAGCAAAATGTACAAAGTGGCTGATTCATTATCGATGAGCAATAGTGCATTTTGTGCTTGAGGCAGTGCTCCCTTTTTAGGAAGTACCACTTGATGCTACTGCTTAACATGATTTACATGCTAATGGTATAGTTTATTTCTTTAAAACATTTAATTCGGAATTTAAACTTGTGTGTATGTGTAGTTTTTATGTGTTTGGTGCAGTATTTTATACTTGACTATGAAGTTGCTACGTTGTCATCATGGTGTGACCAATGAGGGTTTTTCTAGTATACCAGGTTTATGGGCTGTTTACAAAAAGGTACAAAAAGTATTTGTTGCTATCCAGTTGTTAGTAATTAAAAAATCTTACTAATATACCTCAACATTCCTTCTTTATCATTCATTACGTGCCTTTCAGGCCATCTTTGTGGACCCTTTTCAGGTTGTAAAATAGAAAAGGGTAAGTTGTTGAATAAGCATGAGTGAATGTCTTTTTCATAGTGCAAATAAGTATCAAACCCAAAAGCTCCTCTCTTCATTCAGAGCCACTATTGGAGTGTAACCTCATTATCACAAGTAGAGAAAAATAGTTGTTTGATTCAATTTAATTTACTTTAAAGATTCGGAGGAAACTAAAAAAAATATATATATAAAAATAAAATTAAAAATTACCAGTTTTAAAAAGCTAAAAACCTTCAATATTTCTCCTAGAGGAAGGTATTCAAATAGGGGTAGGAAAGTACATGAGTAAATATATCATGGACTAGGAAACAGAACAGGAACTCATTCACAATCACTCATTTTCACTGAAGAAAGTAGACAGTGTTTCAGTTGCAGAGGCTTAAGGTAAGGCAATAGTGAATCAGATTATTTTGCAGATGGACCTTGTGAGTTGTAAAATTAAATGGGTACATTATGTTTGCCTGGAGCTATGGTGGTGAAAGTAGTGAGGAAAAACACAACAGCCTCCTGGGCCTCTTTCCTTGAAGGAAAACTGGGAAAGCAGAACCGTTCTGAGCAAGTGCAAAGCACAGAGTATCTCTTAGGAATACTTAAGTCCACAGTGAATTTTAAGATGAATTTGAGCTACAATTTTTCTTAACAAAGAAAAAAGTAAGGTCACTTTGAACTATAACCAAGAATCAAGTACACAACAATCATGTTTTTCTTCCATGTTTAACTTTGATCTAAAGCTGGCTTTTTTTTCCCCCACTCATGTTCTCCCTAGAAACCAAATTCCTAGTTTTATATATGTCTGTATAACTACAGTTACACTGATGGCCTAGCTCCTTCAATTTAATTAAAACTAAACAGATTTCCTCATAGACGCATCAGCTGGTAGACATTCTAGCAGGTCACTGTTGCCAGACCCTTAAACGTTCTCTTGCTCCTTAAATGTAGTTTTTCTGTTTGTACTGCTGTAGTCACTGACCTGAGGCCGTCACACAAATATCCTTATCCCTCTTTCAGGAAAAATAAAGTCATCTTTGGCCATCTTTTTGTTTCTGCTCTTTTTCATTATCTTGTTTCTGCTCAGATTTAACCAGTTGTTTGGGTATTATGAAAACACTGCCATCGCTGCTGCAATGAATGACATATTGGCGTGGGTTAAAAGGTCTACCCTGGTCATCCTTCAGTCTACTGAAGATGTCATGGTACAAATTGTTTAACTTCTGCTTCATCTGGCTGATTGATCTGCTGCACTGAGAGTGTTCCTTTTTAAGGCTCTCCTTTTGTGTTTGAAGATTACACACGTCTTCTTCCAAATTAAGAATAGCATTCATTTTGCGTTTCCGACAGTTTTGGGCGGCGACCTTGTTTTTTCCTCTCCGTCTGATGTCACGAAGAAGTGATACCTGAGTATCTGTCAGATGATTCTTTGTGATCATGGCATTGAAAGAGTCTACAGGCATGCTCACAATTTCATCAACTGAAAATGGTAGTCTCAGAGCTTTTGCACGGTATTCATCACTGGTAAGTTTTGTATCAGTAGAATTATAGCACCTATCCTTTACTTCATTGGGTTTCTTCATCCACATCTGCTGATGATGCACTGGAGCGGGTGCTGCTTGACTTGGCAGCTGATTATAAGTGTAGTTATGAAGAAACTGCTGAAGTGTAGTTTCTCTAGAACACTCTGCATCACCTGGATATTCCACATGCCCGTAATTAGCGTATTCTTGGCAGTGGCCTCCAACAGTCCCTACCCCAAGCAAGGAAGCAGATTTCACACCATTACTGTACTCAACAGCACCTTCACTGCTGACTGCGTAAGAGACGGTGCTGTGATTTGAGTTCAAAGACAATCCTGAATCTGAGCCAGGTTCTTCAAATTGCTGAGAAACTTCTATGGTATTAAAGCCATTCTCCAAAGCCAAAGACATGAGTTTAATTTCATCAAAATTATCATCATGGGCCATTAAGTTTCTAATGTCAGCAGCTGAAAGCAACGCTGTCAAATTTGACCCATGAAGTGACTCTGGATTTGTGATACTATAACTTGACTGAGAAAAAGACTCTTGACTTTGTAAATGTCTTGTTTCTGAACTTGTGTGAGTGGAGTAGTCTGTTCTTAGTAGCATGGCATCGTGAGGGCTGAAACGGTGAAGTGTCTCTGTCGAACTTACATTTTGGTGTGAGGATGATGCGTCTTGACCTCTGTTAGAAGTAGCAACTTGTATATCTTCCAGTAACCTCACCTAAAAGATGGAGGGGAAAATCACAACCTTTTACAAAATGAATGCTTCTACATCCAACACCTACAGTCTTAAACAACTTGGTTTTTAATATTCCACTATTTGACTCAAAGTAAAAATTTTGTATGTTAAAGTCTTCTTTTAGCTATCTTGAATACTGCTTCCCATTTCTACAAAGCATAACCTGTGTTAGCATATGACAGCTGGAAGGATGCAGAAGAAAGTTGACTGAAGGGATGGGAGAACTCGTGAAGGACAGTGTGGGACGGGTGAGTGTTGAGAAGTAGAAATGGGACTGTTGCCAAGTGTTCATCAAACTACAGCCTACAAGCTATATCAGGTCTGGTCTAAGAAAAAGCCCTTCTGAGAGGAGCAGACCCTTTCCTGGTAGTAGTAATCAGTTTCCAGGGTGAGCTGGTTCAAGGTGCTAAACTGTCAGAAGATTAACCCTGTAAAGAAGATAAATAACTCACCTGTGGGACTTGACTTAGCCAGTGAGAAAAATGGTGTAAGAGAGTAGGAGGACAGGAATGTTAAGAGCCCCTTCTTAACTGAGGTTTACTGTGTCTACATTTCAAGTCAACTCCTTTACTAAGCGATTTGGAGGAAATGTGTGTGTGTTGTCCCCAGATCACACCTTCTGTAGGTGTCTTCTGACTTTAAATTACTACTCAATTTTTCTTTACAAAAATAAAGCTTCCGTATGTTCTCTCAGACCTGAGGTCCAGATGATAAACGAGTCCTGCAGCAGCATTAAGACCCACTTTCTGTGGGCCTGGGTTTTATGGTTGCCGAGTCCTAGAAGTACAAAGCCACTACCAAAGATTATGTCAGGGCAGTTGCTGACAAGCAGAGTAGTCATAAAATAGATGATACAAAACCCCTTAAGAATGTAAATACATCAAGTAGGAAGTGTATGACAGGATTCCTCCATAGCTGAGAATCCCTACTGTGGTGCAGGAAAGGACTTTTCTGACTGCTGTTCATTGAACAGAGAATGTGACAAGCACTTTCCACAGGGAAGGAATGATGTACCAATAAAGGGCAGAACGTCTCGAGTTCTCTGTTTGCTGGAAGCTCAGATAACAGAAGAAAGTCTTGTCTTACTCTCCCTAGGGAGTTACCTTGTACTAGACCACCAGTAGTCTGTGAGATTGAGCTGGTATTTTCAATTAAGCTCTTGAAAATAAATGAATATTCTTAGCAAGCTTAACTATAGAAAAACTATACCACACTGCAAGGACTTGCTACCTGGAAGAAACAAGCAATCCATTTTCAACAGATAGGTTGTCACAAGATGGCAGTGCATTAATAGTCTTAAAATAAAATTACAACCGAAATTTACAGCTACACAAAGGCCACAGCCAAATTCCTTTCAAATTGTGAAAACAGATAAAACTAAACTGACAAACATCTGAACCTTGTTAGTGTGCAATCCAGTACCAAAGCTAAACAGAGAAGGAGGCTAATTTATGGACTAGGAGGCACTATCCAACCTAGAGATTCCCCCAGACAAGGTGTTTTAAAGATAAGCATGAACTTAACATGGAAAACACTAATGACACTGGAAGGCTCCTACAATGGGAAGCATATGTAAGATGCCCTTGGAGTACTGCAAGAAAGGAATGTAGGGAGTAGCTTTATGGTTAATGGTTGCAGCTATGAGCTGTGGGAGAGCAGAGAGACTCCAATTAAGATAACAACTGGGTTTTGTGAAGATGGGAACCCAGAGAGCAAACAATAGTATCAGAAGCCCAGACGATAAAGAAAACAATGGGTTTGCTCCTAATGCTGACTGACCTGATCTGCAGCGAAGATGGATCTGTTCTGGAGAGCAGAATCCTTGTAAGCACCCGACCCAACATTTATGACAATTGTAATCTTTCACCACAAATGCTTAATAGCTGCTAGTGCTTAATAACTCAGTGTTGCTCTACTGAGTTACTCTATCAATATGAATTGGGATTAGGTTTCAGAAGGGGAATTATTAGTTCTACTAATTATGTTGCCCAGGGGCTCCATCCAACTTTGAGCGCCAGGTCACAGCAAAGACAGGAACTTACAGTTTTCATATCCCAAACAAGTTAATGAGGAAAATTTTTCAAGCAGAACTGCTGCAAAAGGTGTCTTTAATGTCTTCAGGTAAGTTTAACTATGTTGATTTGCTGATACATTCCCTGGGGTGGGAGATTACTGGATAAAACAGAGTAAGTCATTATTCAGTAATCACTAACTGTATTCCAATCTATTAGCAATACATGTGCTTTCTCATTTACCTCTAGCATGTTTTCCATCTGCGAAGACAGAAGCTGTAAATAGCTCTCTAATGAGAGAAGGGAATCTACATGGTTGTGGTTGCTCTGTGAGAGAAGAAACAAACACTTCATGAAGCACAGTTATTTTACATAAAAGGAGGTAAAAATCCAAGTCTGTGAGGAAATAGAGCACAGCTCTGTAAAATACTGCTGCTGACCCCTGCCATCAAGTCTTTGTCCTGATGGGACAATGTCATGTTGCTAGAACAAGCAGAATAACTCCATGGCAGGAGCATCCGTACTCTGCCCCACAACAGCAGAACTGGGCTTCCCTGCTCTTCAAGGCTGCACTTACCCACCACTTTGGAAAAATCAAGTATTGTTTCAAAGCCTATCTGCCAGGGCAGCGGTGAGCAGAGACACTGGCAAGAAACCTGGATCCGATGTTCTCTGCTCTTACAACATCTCAAGAAGACAGAATGGTCTTTTCATTGCAGCTCTCAGAGAGAACAAAACCCAAAGTGCAGACGTTTCCGTTTAACATTATTATTTCTCCACCTTGTAATTACAATACATGTTAAGATCTGAACAATCCACAATTCTACATCTGTGCATCAATCTTTACATGAATGGTGAAAACAGTGTAATTTAGCATCCACACCTCTAGTGTCTGTAGGTCCCCAAAAAAATCCTTGCCCACGAATGTACCACCTTCACGATGGAGAAACTAAAACCAAATTGACAAATGGTTTGTTGCAAGCGATTTCTGTAAAATGTAGAACATTTCAACTGCATAAACTGCACTGGGGAGGAGGAGGGCAGGTTTTGAAAAGCTGTACAGGGGCATCATACACAAAGTGTTCTCTGAAGTCACTGCTCCTTTCCTGACCTTGCAAGGGACATTCCAAACGAAAAGAGGAAATCAAATGCTCCTTTCAAAACCATGCACTCTGTTTCTGTCACTACTCTATCTCAGTAACAAGACGTAAATCCTCCCTCACTTCCTCCTCACACTTTTCCCTTCCATTTTTTTCATCATTTACTTGATTTATATCTTCTTCCTCCTTTTGCAGTTGCAGCTGACCATCTCCTTGGTGTGGACAGCAGTCATCCAAAACTTCTTGGCATACTTTCAGGTCAACATCCTGAAGACACAAATAAAACAGTTCCATGAAGCAGAATGCTGTCAAAATTAATCTTTAAAATGCACTATTTCCACAGCTGCAGCATTTCAAATGAGATACACACTGCACCATTCATTCATGTGGATGAACTGGCTCTGCGTAGACTCGGAGGGCAAAATGAGACAACGGCAGTTCAGGAGCGTAGTCACTGCCTTTCTGTCAGTGCCCAGGTACTGAACCCATCTGCAGTATAAATGGATGCTCATAAACACTGGAAACAAATTCTTCTCAAACAGACACATGATGATGTGATTTCATTGAAAGTTTGGGCTATCAGTGTCTTTTGGATGTCATTTCACAACAATGAATCCAAGCCAATGTAGCCATTTGCAATCATGACTGTTCCCTGTAGTGTACCAAAGGGAACATACCATCTCTGCTGAATGAGCTTAACAGTGCTGCAGTGTATGGCTTTGAAGATTAGTCTAACTACTAGTACCATTTCTTGTTCCAGAAGATGATGTTAAAATATGCTCACTCCTGCTCACACTGATTGCTACTGCAGTAAGTTATCCACCCTTTAAAAATCCTGTTTCCCCCACTACCATGGTGGTTTCTGAAGGAGCATGGCCCTCTGACCAGCTTTTCACAACAGTGGTGGTACAGGTACAGTGCATGTAAGATTGTTCACAGCACCCATTTCTACATATGGGATCATTTCAGTGAAACACTGGATGATGCTTTTAAAGATTTACCCTTGACATTACACTTCCCAACAGCTTGTTACTCTTTCCCAGTGATGAAGAGCAGCTGAAAAATACTGCTAAGCAACAAAATGCTTCTTCCCATGCCCGCACATCATTTGGGATCGATTGCTAGGCTACTTCTAAGGAAAGAATAGGAGGGGCACCTCCCCCAGAATCAGACATATCATAGTTTTGAATAAGGCATTTCTTTAAAGATAGCTTAATTTTGCAGTCTGAATACACATCTAATGACAAAAGGGATTAGGTATAAATACTGCTTACTCAGTACTGTTCTGCCACTTTTAGTGTTTCTGTCTTGTTGCTTATTTTGCATTAATGGTAGCAGAAGAAACAGTAGTTGACTTCTAGTAATACCACTGTGGGCCCAAGAGCTAGATCAGCACCACATGTGGTTTGTCCCTGTACAGAGGAAAAAACTGACTTTTGCTGATTGTAGAAGACTTAATATCACCAAACCCCTTTATTTCAGCAGCCTTTTCACTACTACCACTGGAGGGTGTGGAAGTTCACACCTCCCACAGCAGGCTGTTTCCAGGTAAACTGCAACCCTATCTATCTGGAAACAACCTTCTATCTGCATTTGGAAAGATGTCTGTGCAAGCACAAGGCAGAACATTTACACTAAAGCTCCCTCAAAAACATAGCAAAAAAATAAAAGGTATCTCAAATTCTATTCTTGCTTCCGCCATTTACCAGTTTCAGTTGGATGAGAGAACGCAATCTGAGGCTAAGCCTGATTTACCGAATTATTCTTCAGCCTTGTAGGCTGAAGAGATGAGCTCTAACCGAGTAGCATCTGCCCTTTCCCTAAGGTACAACTTATCACAGGTCAACTATCAGCTTCCATTTGGAATATGAAAAATAGTAATCTATGCTAACTCTGCTCCTTAAAGTGGTCCAAGAATCAATGTGGAGGTGAGAGAAAGTATGATTCTGTGGGTGGCCTGGCGTACACCTCATTGGAAGGATGCTGCCAGCTCTGGCAGGTTTCCAGATTTTCTTACTACATTAAAAACAGAGCCTTCAGTTTCCAATTAAGTACAATGATCTTAACATTAACTGAATGCCCATACATCAAACTATCCCTCAGCATATCTCCTTTTGCTTCACACACCCACCTATTATTTGTTGTCCATAAATGAATGTGCAGGGAGCAGAACCTGTAATGATATTCAAGTATGAATAGATCTACCATGATGCATTGGATGGGTGAACAAGACCCCTCTCTAGGGGCAGCAGAAAGCATAAGCAAGCTGTTTTCAGCTACTGATCAGTGTGCAGTTAGCAAACAGGGCTGCAATCACATAGCTACATGTGTACAGAAATATCTGAACTAGGTCTGGAGTAACAGAAACGTCTTGCCACAACAGAACAGAGCAGACAGGGTGGTTTCCTTGGGTGTACAGACAGCATCAAGGAACAGGAGGTACCTGCCCCAGGAAAGCTGTTTCGCTGCACTAAGACTCTGATTTATCTCTACAAATACCCCAGTGATAACCACCATTATTTGAAAAAGGACACGTTTGTGCTGATTTGTGTTTGTGCATCCTGCTCACATGCTGTGTTCTAATCCTCTGTATTGCATTCTCCTTATCTTAGCTGTCAAGCTTTAAATTGCTCCATTACTGTCATTAACCTTTGAGATGCTTCTCTGCAAACTTGTGTCCCTTTCTCCTCTACTAACTGGACTTCTCTGTAGAGCTGACCCTTTCCTTGCTGCTACCTGAAAAGATGCAGCACACACGTGGTGATCTTTGCCATAGTTTGACTAATTAAGCACCATTTCCAGAAAATTGTCCCACACCAGCAGAAGTTAGGCAAAAGAAATACAGCTTCTTGTAATATAACCAGTAGTTTCACTTTACTACTTTGTAGGATTAAATACAATTAATAATTAAATTTAAAGGTGCAGACCTGTTATAGCTCTAAGGCTACTGATGTTGCTCTTTGCCTGTTTACTTAAAACATGTGATGATAATTAATCTTACCAATTGATACCTACTTAATTTCAGCTAAAAAGCAAAATGTTTCTTGTTTTTTCTCTATATTCATAATGAGCCCTAGAATATCCTGAAAACATAGGAACAGAAGAATACTTCATTGTTTGAAACGCAGCCAGGGTTTAGAAAGCATGGAGAGTGAAATGGCAGATGGAAACACCAAACAGCAAAGTAACTTTTATGTTATATATGGCTAGGCTAAAAAATTACAACAAACTATTCTAACTAAACAATCACAGAATCCTAAGGGTTGGAAGGCACCTCAAAAGTTCATCTAGTCCAACTCTCCTGCAAGAGCAGGGTAACCTAGAGTACATCACACAGGAACTTGTCCAGGTGGGCCTTGAATACCTCCAACGTAGGAGACTCCACAACCTCCCTGGGCAACTTGTTCCAGTGCTCTGTCACTCTCACAGTAAAGAAATTTTTCCTGATGTTCACATGGAACCTCCTATGCTCCAGTTTACACCCATTGCCCCTTGTCCTATCACTGGACATCACTGAAAAAAACCTAGCTCCATCATCCTGACACTCACCCTTTACATATTTGTAAACATTGATGAGGTCACCCCTCAGTCTCCTCTCCTCCAAGCTAAAGAGTCCCAGCTCCCTCAGCCTCTCCTCATAAGGGAGATGCTCCATTCCCTTAATCATCTTCGTTGCCCTGCGTTGGACTCTCTCCAGCAGCTCCCTGTCCTTCTTGAACTGAGGGGCCCAGAACTGGACACAATATTCCAGGTGCGGTCTCACCAGGGCAGAGTAGAGGGGAAGGAGGACCTCTCTCGACCTACTAACCACCCCCCTTCTAATACACCCCAGGATGCCATTGGCCTTCTTGGCCACAAGGGCACATTGTTGGCTCATGGTCACCCTCCTATCCACCAGGACCCCCAGGTCCCTTTCCCCTTCACTACTGTCCAGCAGGTCAGCCCCCAACCTGTACTGGTACATGGGGTTGTTCTTCCCCAGATGCAAGACTCTACACTTGCCCTTGTTGAATTTCATCAAGTTTCTCCCCGCCCAACTCTCCAGCCTGTCCAGGTCTTGCTGGATGGCAGCACAGCCTTCTGGCGTGTCAGCCACTCCTCCCAGCTTAGTGTCATCAGCAAGCTTGCTGAGGGTACATTCAGTTCCCTCATCCAGGTCGTTGATGAAAATATTAAACAGCACTGGTCCCAGCACCGACCCCTGAGGGACTCCACTAGTCACAGACCTCCAGCTAGATTCTGCCCCGTTGACCACAACTCTCTGCCTTCTTCCTTACAACCAGTTCTTGATCCACCTCACTACCTGATCATCAAGCCCACACTTCCTTAGCTTATCTATGAGGATGCTGTGGGAGACAGTATCAAATGCCTTACTGAAATCAAGAAAAACCACATCTACCGCTCTACCATCATCCAGCCACCTAGTTACTTGTTCATAGAAGGCTATAAGGTTGGTCAAACATGACTTCCCCTTGGTAAAGCCATATTGGCTGCTCTTAATGACCCCCTCATCCTTGATATGCCTAGAGAAAACAATGCAATTGAGTAAATCAAATGGTACATAACTGTGACTCCAAATGTGGCACCTGTCAAATGCCTATGACACATCTATTCTAAATCTTAGTAATACCATCTGGGCTGCAACCAAATGCACGCTGTTATAGGCACTCCACTTGTTGCAGTGAGTTGTTAGCACCTCTCTAACCACATGCATTTCGGAAACGAAAGTGCTAGGGCTTTACATACCATGGCTCACCTACATCAGCTATCAGAAAACACACACACTCTGTGCACTCTACATGTTCAGCATAAACACAGAATTTACACCAACCTACTCCCCAAATGGAGCCAGAGATGGGTATAAGTTGAAGGCATAGACACAAATAGTATCGCTGTTAATTTCAATGAAGACATCGGTTTTCATGCTGAAGACAGCTCAACATCCCCTTCAAAATGAACTTTTAGAACTGCTTCTAAAACATAAAAAAACAGTTTTACACTCTGAATTTGGTCCTGTGCAGTTGTTTTGCAGCAGGAACTGATTTTATCCTAAAGGATACAACATCTCTCACAGTGAATATGATGAAAGTTATTAGATTTATTCAGTCACTCTCTCAGATTAAGTACAGTTTAAAAAAAGCCTCTGCTGTCCCAAGATGCTTTCTATTGTGGTCAATGAACTACGTGACATTGGAGTTCTGTAAGAGACTCTCTTTCTCTCTCTCTCTCCACCTTTACCCAGGCTAGATTGGTACTGTATCCTCATTGGTATGACACAGTCACCACTGAATAAATATAGAAGTATGAAGGGACCACCTTTTCTGATAAAACTTTATCCACAACTTAATTCCAGCTATCTTCCTTTTGAGCCTTCCAGGGCAAACTTACTTTCTCAGTTATCCAGCTCCCAACTTTCTCAAGCTATCAGCTTCACAGCAACTCAAAATGCCTGCCAACTCACAGCTCTGAATAGGGAGAGCTGTTAAAATCCACAGTCTGTTACTTTGGTTTCTTTGGGATTTGAGTATCTTTACCTTCCCTCTGCTGCTGTATGTAATTCCTCTTCTATTTTTCACATTTACCACACTCTGTTTCTTCTTTATGCCTGATACCACTCATCACCTCTCACATACAATTCCCATGCACACCCTACAGCAGGAACACATTCCCGCCTCTCCAGGGAGCAAGAAACTACAGGTGGAGGTCAGCCACACATCACCGATTCCCTCTACACCCTTCCTGGCCACTTGTTTGACTTTGCTTTTTCAAACCCCTGTGCCTCCTGCAGCACAGCATAACAAAAACTGAAATCACAGTCTCTCAGGACAATAAATACCTCAAATGCCTGAGGCTCCTCTCTTACCCCACCTGTCTCTGAAACACCACATGATCCTTCACACACCTTCTTCTTTAACCTAGCTGAATTCTGGCTAGTGGGCAGGAGCCAGCCATGAGCAGGTACCCAGACCAGTTATCTATTTTCAGATGTCCCTCCACAGCAATATTGCCATGTCCTTTTGCTCAATGAGTTCAAAAGAAAAAAGAAAGAATAACTTGAAGTGTGTTCTGTAAGGTAAGCACACAGCTTCACTGGGACTGCTCTCACATGGAGTAGAGAAAAGCCTTCAGGAAAAAGCCTGCCTGGTTTCTATGTACCTTCATTTTACCAAGCTTCTGACACTCACCAAGAGAAAGAACCTGTAAATCAAACTATTCTCACTGTGTAAGTACTTCAAATGATACCAAAATGACCAGGATTCACCCCTCTACTGCTTTGATACTGTGAAACCCTAACAGTGTTCAAAGAACTATACATGTATGAGGTTTTACATAACCTGACCCAAACTGCTTTTCTAAACATGAACACAGAGACTACAGTGCAAACAATACAAATTATCCAGTGTGCATCTTCTTCCTTAACTTCTGCAATTCACAAACATCCCCAGTGCTATGCTGTTAATCATTAATTAGAGCAGATGTTCTTTAATTGAGCACAGGCATTCAGCTCTTTAAAGGGCTTCAAAATCTTTCATAAAGGCTATAATATATCCAGATATAACAAACCTACTTGGGCCTTCCTTTTCTGTCCCACACCAATCTGGGTCATGTCCTATGTACATGCAATGACCCAGCACAGCAACTGCTGTGCACTCCCTCTTCTGCTGCACAGACATCAGTGCTTGGGGGCTTACATGATTTGGAAAGTGACAAAGTGAGATTTTGGGAAGTGAGAACTGTAAGATTCAGGCCACAGATAAAAAACCTGAAGAGTTACTTCCTGATAGTCTAAATAATTCCCCATATATATATTCCACAAAAGATAAGGAATCCACCCAGTTTTTATACTCCCTTCTTCAAAAGTCTACATATATATGCACACAAATATATGCATGCACAGAAATAGTGATATCCAGAGAGAAAGAGAAAAGAAAACCACTAAATCAAGTAGGGCAGTTCTGAACTCTTGCAAGATCTTTTGCTAAGACGTTGCTGTCCCACAAACTTCTTGAGACTTCTTCTGTATCTGTGAATACTATTGCCTTATACACAGGACTGATGCAACATCTTGAGGCCTCCCGTTTCCCCACACAGTTTTTAAGGTGCTTTGGAAAATGTATCTTGTTCATTGTGCATAATGGACTTATGGCCAAACATAACTGATTTTAAAAGTGTTGGGACAGGTTATGGGGAGAAGCCTAAGGAAAATGCAGTTAGCAGAGTTTGGACTACATCCCAGGTTATGTGCCAGTGGGATGGATTCTCTTTTCCCCACCAATATAAGACCTATATCGAGTGTCAGCTGCATGGGTTTGGGGTTTGTTTTTTTTTTACTTTGGGTTTTGGTTGTTTTCGAGGGTTTTTTTACTTTTTCTGTGCTTAAAACTCCAAAATCTACAGTCACACAGTGTCTTGGTCAGGGGCAGTCTGCAAACAGTAGGACCTCAATCAGCTTTGTTTACTACAGAAATGATTCCATCTCCTTGCATGAACTGATGCATGTTTTCCTGGCTATTCAAAGCTAAAGTTTTTAGCCTTTTTCCCTCTAAAGATATAACTCACAGTACCTGGGCAGGAGCCCTGGTACCATAGCCTGAGTCTTAAACATCCATGAGAACCAAACCTACAAGCTTTGGTTCTGTAGCTGCCCCAGGCCAGAACAGCACAAAAGGCACTAGATTAATACCCTCAAGCCATAGGAGCACATCTTCTATCAATCACCTGCTACAACCTTCTGTAGTAATGTAGGACAGTGAATTACAGATAGGATTCATAACAAAAAACTTCTTAACATGTGATCTCTGCTGTGGTACAAACATTTTTTTATCCCTGGTCCTGTGTCATGGTTTAAGCCCAGCCAGTAACTCAGAACCACGCACCTGCTCGCTCACTCTCCCCACTTCCTCTCCCCGCTCCCAGAGGGATGGGGAGGAGAACGGAAAGAATGTAACTCCCACAGGTTGAGATAAGAACAGTCCAGTAACTAAGGTATAACACAAATCACTACTGCTACCACCAATAATAATGATAAGGGAAATAATAAGGGAAGAGAATACAACCGCTCACCACCCGCCAACCAATACGCAGCCCGACCGAGTAGTGATCTAGCCCTTCTGTGTAACCCCCCAGTTTATATACTGGACATGACATGCTGTGGTATGGAATACCTCTTTGGCTAGTTTGGGTCAGGTGTCCTGTCTCTGCTTCCTCCCGGCTTCCCCTCCTCCCTGGCAGAGCTTGACACTCACAAAGTCCTTGGTCAGAGTAAACATTGCTGAGCAACAACTAAAAACATCGGTGTTATCAGCGCTGTTCCCAGGCTGGAAGTCAAAAACACAGCACTGCACCAACTACTAAGAAGAAAAATCAAATTCCCTTGAGGTACACACTGGACTTCTCCATCTTCCCGCATTACCCACCAAGTATATCCAGGCCCCTGAGCAAAAGCAATCCCATGAGTGGGTTTGCCTTTAGATGAAGCAGGAATAACCCAGACTGTCTTCCCCAACAAATTCTTTATGTGCACCACAAGAACTTTATCCCCTTCTACAGTATGTAAAAGTTCTGACTGGGCTTGGCCGGCCCTGTTGGCAGATCCTCTGGTGTTGACCAACCAGGTGGCTTTTGGTAAATCTGTATCCCAATGCTTGAAAGTTCCCCCACCCATTGCTCTCAGTGTAGTTTTTAACAGCCCATTGTACCGTTTGATTTTCCCAGAGACTGGTGCCTGGTAGGAGATGTGATATACCCACTCAATGCCATGCTCTTTGGCCCAAGTGTCTATAAGGTTATTCCAGAAATGAGTCCCATTGCCTGACTCAATTCTCTCTGGGGTGCCGTGTAGCCACAAAATCCATTTCTGAAGGCCCAGGATAGTGTTCCGGGCAGTGGCACAGGGCACAGCGTATGTTTCCAGCCATCCGGTGGTTGCTTCCACCATGGTAAGCACATGTCACTTGCCTTGGCAGGTCAGTGGGATTGTGATAAAGTCAATCTGCCAGGCCTCCCCATATTCGTCCTCCATACCAAAGAGGCTTTAACCGTTTAGCTTGTTTAATTGCAGCACATGTTTCACACTCATGAATAACCTGGGCAATAGTGTCCATTGTTAAGTCCACCCCTCGATCACGAGCCCATCTGTATGTTGCATCTCTGCCCTGATGGCCTGAAGTGTCATGGGCCCACCGGGCCAAAAATAATTCACCTTTATGTTGCTAATCTAAGTCCATCTGAGCCACTTCAATCTTAGCAGCTTTATCCACTTGTTGGTTGTTCTGGTGTTCCTCAGTGGCCCGACTCTTGGGTACATGGGTATCCACATGGCGTACCTTCGCCTTCAGGTTCTGCACGTGGGCAGCGATATCTTGCGACAGTGCAGCAGCCCAGATGGGTTTACCTCTGCGTTGCCAGTTGCTCTGCTTCCATTGCTGCAACCACCTCCACAGGGCATTTGCCACCATCCATGAGTCAGTATAGAGATAAAGTACTGGCCACTTTTCTCGTTCAGCAATGTCCAGGGCCAGCTGGATGGCTTTCACCTCGGCAAACTGACTCGATTCACCCTCTCCGTCAGCACTTTCTGCAACTTGTCGTAGGGGACTCCATACAGCTGCCTTCCATCTCCGATGCTTCCAAAGCACTGGAGGGACCCACTGGACTAGATACTTGCCCATACTATCCCACACACCCTGCCACTCATGGATGTCCAGCCTCAGGGAAAATCTCTTGTTGGTCCTCCTATATCATTATTTAACCCTACAAGGGCGGAGCTGGATCCTGTTAGCTTCCATGATTGGACAAGATCGAGTGTTCTCAGGGTGGTCACACATTAGACAAAACATAGAGAGCATTTGCAGCAACTTTCAATGGCATTGAAAAGATATTCAGGATCTTTAACCCTTCCAGAATCTACTCCCACTGTAAATAGTCTGGTGGGGGAGCAGAGGGTGTGAGGGAATATCTCCTTCATAGGTTGACTACCCGAGGAGTTAAAAAAAAAAGATGTGTAATTGCTAAACACTTCCATTATATACCTCCCAAAGTACAGAGGTGGTGACCACACTGGGAAGGCAAGCCAGATCAATTTCATGATCAATGAGTCTATTGTGTTACAAGTCATTCCCATAAAGTGCAGTGAAACAAGCAACTTAGAAAAGGCCCCCCAGCCAATAAACACTAACACAGCAAATACTGGGTGTAAGTAAGGTATGACATGCTGGAACTCCGAGATCAAGAGCAACAATTTTGGTAGCCAATAAATCGGCATTGTGACGAGTGACTATTAATCCGAAACAATGAATGCTTATCACAAATACAATTAGACACATGTTGGTCAGATCTGTCATTATCTCAACCCATGTTGGGTGCCACAAAGATCTGTCATGGTTTAAGCCCAGCCGGCAACCCAGAACCATGCAGCAGCTTGCTCACTCTCCCCACTTCCTCCCCCTGCTCCCAGAGGGATGGGGAGGAGAATCAAAAGAATGTAACTCCCACAGGTTGAGATAAGAGCAGTCCAGTAACTAAGGTATAACACAAACCACCAGATGGCTGCTACCACCAGTAATAATGATAAGGGAGATAACAAGGGAAGAGAATACAACTGCTCACCACCCACTAACCAATACCCAGCCCAACCCGAGCAGTGATCTAGCCCTTCTGGGTAACTGCCCCAGTTTATATAGTGAGCATGACGTGCTGTGGTATGGAATACTTCTTTGGTTAGTTTGGGTCAGGTGTCCTGTCTCTGCTTCCTCACGGCTTCCCCTGCTCCCTGGCAGAGCATGAGATTCAGAAAGTCCTTGGTCAGAGTAAACGTTACTGAGCAGCAACTAAAAACATCGGTGTTATCAGTGTTGTTCCCAGGCTGGAAGTCAAAACCAGAGCACTGCACCAGGTACTAAAGAAGGATGAAATGACTGCTACTGCTGAACCCAGGACAGTTACTGCTGAACCCTGTTACACACATGCATCCAAGAAAATGGGTAACAAGACTCTGAGATCTTACAATTGTTTTCTTCATTAAAACATGTATTTCAGAAGAAATATATTTTGCTATTGTTATTTGTAAGGCAACAAAATATTGTGGCATTTACATTTCATCAGCAAATTTATATTTGATTACAGAAACAGACTGAATGAAATAGCTTGCTGGGAATATATTGTACATCTGCTGTTGGTAATCATAGTTACTGTATGTATTAGGATCTTGGCCATGGGGCAAGATGGCCTTCTTTAACAATAAGGTATTCATAAGTGAAAAGCAGGTCCTGGTCCTGTTTGAAAGATCAAAGGAGAACATCCAGGATTGCTTGTACTAAGGATAAGTTATTTGACAGCTTGGCAAAATGACCATTAAATTAACCAACTCAGCAGTGAAACCAACTTTTAAAGTGTCTCAAAGTGAACTGCTTTCATTACAACATTAAAAATCACACCTATCGGTCAAAAAGACCATGGCCCAGGTGAAGACCCCTCCCCTGAGCACGCATAGTGATTAGAAGGAATGACACTGCAAATAGCATATGCAGATTGCAAGCAATCACTGCATCTGTACCACCTTCTAACTTTTGTGTACAAATGGAACAAGAAAACTGGTGTTGATGTGCTTGATTTGTGAAACAGTCCACAGAGCACCCAGGCCTGAATAAACACATCTCTCCTGAGCATGTGGAATTGGTTTGCTGCATGCTGAGACAAGGAGGCACAAAAGCACAAAATGTAATCAGTTCTAAGCAAGGTTAAGTTTGATGGCTTTGTAATGTAAAATAACTACAGTGCTTGAAGGTAGCTGACATAGTTTCAGGTCCTTAGGACCTTAGTACAAAAAGTGTATGAAAAACAAAATAGAAAAAAGGGGACCTGGGGATGGGGAGTATCTGGGACTAGCAGATGTCCAGGATGGGCACAGTTAAACTAACTGGTAAGTAGGCCAGGATGACTGCTATGTTTTTTGTGTTAATGAACCCATTAAGATGATGTAAACATCTACTGGGGAGTATCCCGGACTAGCAGATATCCAGGATGGGAGCAGTTAAACTAACTGATATGTAGAAGGACAGGATGATTGCTATGTCTGTAATGTTAATTAAGCTGGTGCTTCAACGACTGCCAGAAGTGATGAAGATTGTTGGGAGAAGTAAACGACCCTTAAAGACCACCATCACATTTGTGTATGCATGTGGGAAACTTTCTGGAAAATAATGTAACTCATGCGTAGCCTCATGAATATATATATATATATATGCCCAGTGACTATATAAGGACGGCTTGTGCAGCAATACGGTGACACATGTTAGGAGGAGCTATCCCCCGTGTCTCCCGGCGCCGCAAAAAGAATACCTGCTTGTCAACTTAAACTTTGCCGGCGAGTTTGTTCCTGGAGTTTTCTCTGAATCAATGCCAAGCACGAATCTGCTTTTTGGACAACAGGAACACAGTGACTATAAAGGTTAGGGCTGATCCCTGTCTGCCAGGCAGCAATCTGAATGCAGGAACCCACCTGTTTGCTTTACTCATCATCAAAGACAAAGTGCTCAGGCTGTCCTAACACTACAGCACATCTCATGTTAGAGCAAAACAGAGACAGGCCAGACAAACCCGTACAGTTGAGCACACTCCAACAGCGTGCTTCAGCCCCTGAATTAAGTTTCTTTTTCATGTGCAGTTGTCTCCCAGAGTGGTTTTAAATACCAGCTCCCTAAGGACGAGGATCAACAGCTCACATTGTGTTGCCAGTGATGTTCTCAGCAGGGACTGGAGCCCAATGAATAAAATTAATCCGGGGTGGCTGAATCCAGCTGCTAACTTTTCAGAACACCACACAATACCGAACAGAACAAAACAATCACTTTCATCGGTTTACACAGACTCCTCGGCCCGATCTAGCATGGGTAAGAGAAATGTTAAAAATAGCTCAGGTCTATTTTTATAAAAGGCAAAATGAAGGTTATAAATCAGCTAAGACACTTTGAAATCCATTATACTCTACAATAACATTTTGACAGCACAAGCAGGCTTACTCAAACCTACAGAGGTCACCTTTAACACAAAGATCAACTTTTTCCTCTGTGTTTCATGTTATGGACCTGTCTTCAGGTCCAAAAAAAGCCTGGTGGAAGGGGCATGGTGGTTTTCACATTTACATTTTAGGTCAAGAACTGAACACTACCTTATCTTGCTGCAATCATCCTTCCACTTAAATAAAATGTGCTTGAGAGAGGCCCAGACCTACTTTAGCAAAGAAATGAATCATCTTCTCTCCACAGAAAGGAGTGATCTCTTACAGTTAGGGTTTTGCAACTCATTTTGCAAGTACTTCACAAAAATTACCAAGCTAACATAGGAGGAAAAAAAAAAAAAAAGGAAAAAAAAAAGAAAACTGACTATGCAAGACAAATACAATTATCAGTTGGTGCTGATTCATTAACTCATAATAAGAACCAGCTATTCACAATGTTCAAAACCAGCTTGAAAACTGTTGGTAGGTCAACTTGGTATTTCAAAATGTACTGAACATCAAAGCCACAAAACCACCATCTACCATACCTCCTGTATCCGCGCAGCGTATCACAACTCTCAGACCATAAACCACTCAAGGAAAAACGAAACTCTATGCCCACTACCGACTTAACTCAGAGGAGCAGCCCCTGCAGCTAAGTGGCTTGGCTAATCTTCGAGTTACAGGCGTACACAGCTCTTCCGCAGGATGAGGGTCCGGGCGGCTTGCACAGGCAGTAAGGACCGCGTGTTGCATGACCGAAATAGGGAAGTCAGCCCTCACTGCTGGGTATTTACTGCCTGGGTCTATTGTTCAAGATGCCACAATGAGAACAGAAGCAGAAAAACCAAGGCTGGAGGCTAGCCCTGGCACAGTAAGACTCCTAAGAAGTAAGAAATGTTCCTGACAAGTGTAGTTACCTGAATACGACATAGACATGCCCTTCCCAACGTGAGGGGTGCCGTTGGGTTCCTTGTCACGATGCGCTGTGGAGAACCTGCATTTCTGCCGCCTCATGACATTCTCGAGCTACCTGTGTGCCCGCATGAAATAAACCGAGCGACTCCGGCGGAAACACCAAGCAGAGGCGCCAGTGCCGGCCCTGCAGCCCTGCCTTGAGCAGCTGCGCTGGGGCAATGCATGTGTCCAGGCCGGGGAGCTCCGACGGGCTGACCCCGCTCCGGCGCTTGCAGAGCCCCCGCCAGCCGCTCCCCTCGCAGAAGGCCGCCCGGCAGTACTGTGCAACCTGCCGCTGGGCTCGCTTTGCCCTCCCGGGACGGGGGCTCACCGCGGGAGCGGGCAGCGCTCGGGTCAGCCCCGCACGCTTCTGGCTGTGTCCGTCCTCTCTCGTTTGTGGCGGTGTCTCTCAGAAAAGCGTCCCCACAGCTCACCCCGCATCTCCACTGCCCGCCCCGGGGACGCGCACACCCCGCTCTGCCAGGCTGCCGCTACCCGCGCCCTCGGGGCCGCCCCGCGGCCGCTTCCCTTACCTGCGCCATGGGGCAGCCGACTCCGCCTGAGGCCGCCGCCGCCGCCCCATCCTCCAGCCGCGGCGGGGCGAGGGGCGGCTCCCCCGGGCGGGGCTGGCACCCGCCGGGGCAGGTCCGGCTGCCAGCGCAGCGCGGGCAGGCGCGGGGCGGCCGCGAACGGCGACTGCCCGGAGGCAGCACCGCCCATGGCGGGTGCGGGCGGGGGGGCAGGACACGGACCGGGCACTAACCCGTCCCGCTGCCACCGCACCGGCCCTTCCCGGTGGGACGGGGATGCGGGAGGGGGACGCGGACATCCCGCACACCCGCGCCCCACTTGTGTCCTGGGGAGCTTCGTGCGTGCCCGGGGCGAGAAATAGCCTTCATTGGCTGCCGCGAGCGGGAGATACAGCTCGGGTTGGAAAGTGCGGGAGCGGGGAGGTTGGGGAGGGAGCAGGGTAGTGTGAAAATGAAAAGAAATTCTTCTCCACCTGCCTCTGGTAGGAAATTTTCTTCTCCCTCCCAGTTCTTAGAATCATAAAATAAAATACAATTAAATAAAATAAATACCGGTACAGTTTTTATTTACAATCAACCTGGTGTCTAAATATCTATTCAATGCCTTTGCTTTCGCACCTACGGAACTGCATTTTCCACAACACATCTATTTAGCACTACCTGAACTTGCTCTCTCATGCTAGAGAGAGGATCTTTTCTGACAGTTTTTTCTCCCTCTGCCTTCTGAAAAAGCCTTTTATCACCTCTCATCACTTCTGCTTATCTGGGTGTTTCAGACTTGTTTTGGCATTTACAAGGGATAAGGCTGTTCGGTCAGACCCTGAAAGTGTCGTCTCTTCGGTGATACCTCTGTGTGTAACGAGTGCAGTTTCTCATTTCTCTGTTATCATGCATGACATTTCCCTTGTGTGTCTAGTGTGATACTATGTAACGGATGTGTTACAATACTCCCAGCATTTTCCTGCAATTTGTTTCTTGAATTCCAATAAAATAACATTTTTCTGACAAAAATCCAAAAGAATGGGAAATGCAGTCTTCCATTGCCAGCTCTTTTTACCATGCTGGGGTAAGATCTCTGGCTTTTTAAGTGGAAGTAGAACTGAAAGCAACAATTTTGATTTTGCTGTTGCAGAAATAAATTAACAGTGTCTTAAACTAACTACATTTACACATGATTCAAGGCACAAATGCCATGACAATATCCAGCACAAGTCCTTACATTCTGCAATATTCTTTGGTGTCAATCCTTTTCTAGTTTATATTTTGTTGTTGCAGCACAATCCGAATCTTTGCACATAACTTTAAGCTTATAGATCAAGTCTTCAAATGACAACAAAATATATGACAGTTGAATATAGCCCATAGAGTTTCTTGCAAGTGATGGAGAAGGAGCATATGTTTTGAATGCTGTGGGAAAAGACCTTTGGGGATGTTTGGACTCATCTCAGGACTAGAAATCAGTGTTATGTTACCTTTAACTCTGCAGTGATGATGCCCAGTGCATCTCCTGTGCTACCTGAAGCACAGCTGTTACATTACAGCACAGGGATTCTCCTGCCTGGCCGAGGACTGGGCTTGCAGCTTCACACATTCAGCTTCTCTTCTTGGCCACTGTAGGCCACTACAACAATGTACATTAAACAGGCCCATTTAACCCCTTAGTTTTTAACTTTAACAAGATGGTGGGATTTAAATGGTTAACAGGGTACAGAAGCTCTGTGCTGTTGCATTTGCTTTTGGCTAATAGTTTTTCATCTGAACTGAGTTTGCGGTCCTTGAAGACCCTTTGAAGTGCACATGGGTTGCTAGAGAGGGACTGAAACCTCCCTCAGGCTGGCTCAGCTACCTTAAATTGGAGATAACCTTCCCTCAGAAGAGATTTTATGGTGTTAGATTTAAGGATGCTGTTCAGGTCTGGATTCCAGTATTCAGGTGTTCAAAATCCTCCCCTCAAGCTATGAGGGATAAGGGTGTGCTCAGTTAGCAGCGTCCAGCAGAAAAGTTGTCTGTGTCAGGGAGTTCGTGTGCCCTCTCCCAGCCAATGCTGCGGCTGATTTGCATGTCAGACACTGCCTGCAGTCAGCCCCTCATCCTGATCTGCAAAGTCAGTATTGTTGCAGATTATCTTAAGTTTTCCTGAATCTTTCTGTATTTTGTGTTTGTGAAGCAGTTAGCTATAGGAACATCTTGATTTAAGATGTTAACCTTTATGTTAGTGTTATATTAGCGTTTATTAACTAATGATGTATGGGT